GCCACCAGGTTTGCACACATCTTAGGAGGGATTTTGTTCCACTCCTCTTTGCAGATCTTCTCCAAGTCATTAAGGTTTCGAGGCTGACGTTTGGCAACTCGAACCTTCAGCTCCCTCCACAGATTTTCTATGGGATTAAGGTCAGGAGACTGGCTAGGCCACTCCAGGACCTTAATGTACTTCTTCTTGAGCCACTCCTTTGTTGCCTTGGCCGTGTGTTTTGGGTCATTGTCATGCTGGAATACACATCCATGACCCATTTTCAATGACCTGGCTGAGGGAAGGAGGTTCTCACCCAAGATTTCACGGTACATGGCCCCGTCCATCGTCCCTTTGATGCGGTGAAGTTGTCCTGTCCCCTTAGCAGAAAAACACCCCCAAAGCATAATGTTTCCACCTCCATGTTTGACGGTGGGGATGGTGTTCTTGGGGTCATAGGCAGCATTCCTCCTCCTCCAAACACGGCGAGTTAAGTTGATGCCAAAGAGCTCCATTCTGGTCTCATCTGACCACAACACTTTCACACAGTTCTCCTCTGAATCATTCAGATGTTCATTGGCAATCTTCAGACGGCCCTGTATATGTGCTTTCTTGAGCAAGGCGACCTTGCGGGCGCTGCAGGATTTCAGTCCTTCACGGCGTAGTGTTACCAATTTTTTTCTTGGTGACTATGGTCCCCCAGCTGCCTTGAGATCATTGACAAGATCCTCCCGTGTAGTTCTGGGCTGATTCCTCACCGTTCTCATGATCATTGCAACTCCACGAGGTGAGATCTTGCATGGAGCCCCAGGCCGAGGGAGATTGACAGTTGTTTTGTGTTTCTTCCATTTGCGAATAATCGCACCAACTGTTGTCACCTTCTCACCAAGCTGCTTGGCGATGGTTTTGTAGCCCATTCCAGCATTGTGTAGGTCTACAATCGTGTCCCTGACATCCTTGGAGAGCTCTTTGGTCTTGGCCATGGTGGAGAGTTTGGAATCTGATTGATTGATTGCTTCTGTGGACAGGTGTCTTTTATACAGGTAACAAGCTGAGATTAGGAGCACTCCCTTTAAGAGTGTGCTCCTAATCTCAGCTCGTTACCTGTATAAAAGACACCTGGGAGCCAGAAATCTTTCTGATTGAGAGGGGGTCAAATACTTATTTCCCTCATTAAAATGCAAATCAATTATTAAAAATTTTACATGCGTTTTTCTGGATTTTTTGTTGTTATTCTGTCTCTCACTGTTCAAATAAACCTACCATTAAAATTATAGACTGATCATGTCTTTGTCAGTGGGCAAACGTACAAAATCAGCACGGGATCAAATACTTTTTTCCCTCACTGTACCTCGCTAATAACTAGCTTGCGGCTAAAGCTTATAACAAAAAGCAACGCCTGGCAGTAGACAAACATTAACAATAGTTTGAGAGAGGAAAGAAAAGAAAGAAAGAAAGAACCTCTGGTCAATGCCTTTGAGACAATCGCAACCGTGCTAGATCGGTCATCAAAGACAATTGAAACAGTTCCCCTGTCTCAGCTTTCAACCCCTCTGGAGAAGAAAATGTATAATATAACTGAAGGCAGTTACAGACAACTGCTAGTAGAGCGCTAAGAGTGCTAAGCCATAGCGGGACTGACAGGTCAAACAGGTTCTAAGGGAGAGGCTCCTACTTGTTGGGCTGCTAGGCATGACGTGAGTCAAACAGCTTCTATTTATCCAACCAGGCACTTTGTTACACTCCAAACAACACTGTAGGACACAGGGTAGTAAAATAGGTATGCTAAAAGTATGTCAGTGGTAACACATTTCATTGAGGCGTGGGATAGCCTAGATAAGAGGAATGTTGTAGGCTCCCTACATATGTGTCACTTAAGTGAGAGATACTCTGAAATCCCCTTGTAATTTGAGTCAAGTGTCTAATATGCATGATGGTATGACACATTTGTTTCACATGGGGGCAGGGATTTGTGTTGTGAGAGTTGCTGTGCTCCATGTTAACAAAGACTTGCCATATGGATCAGTGGGGATGGGTAAGTGATGATTAAGCAGCCTTGCTCAAGAGTCAACACATTGAACACCATAGCACTTTTGTTCAATCATTTTTTCTCACAGATCAAAATAGTCTTCTCCTACTGTGAAACATCCAACATACTCTTACATTTGTCAGTGTTATATGCTAAAGTCGAGATCAGCTTCCATTGGGCAACACACAAAAACACCTGTTCCCAAGATGGGCTTATAAATGTACAGATATATATACACTACCGTTCAAAAGTTTGGGGTCACTTAGAAATGTCCTTGTTTTCAAAAGAAAGGCAATTTTTTTGTCCATTAAAAGAACATCAAATTGATCAGAAATATAGTGTAGACATTGTTAATGTTGTAAATGGTTATTGTAGCTAATCCAAGTTTATAATTTTAAAAGGCTAACTGATCATTAGAAAATCCTTTTGCAATTATGTTTGCACAGCTGAAAACTGTTGTGCTGATTAAAGAAGCAATAAAACGGGCCTTCTTGAGATTTGTTGAGTATCTGGAGCATCAGCAATTGTGGGTTCGATTACAGGCTCAAAATGGCCAGAAACAAATAACTTTCTTCTGAAACTTGTCAGTCTATTCTCGTTCTGAGAAATGAAGGCTATTCCTTGCGAGAAATTGCCAAGAAACTGAAGATCTCATACAACGCTGTGTACTACTCCCTTCACAGAACAGCGCAAACTGGTTCTAACCAGAATAGAAAGAGGAGTGGGAGGCCACGGTGCACAACTGAGCAAGAGGACAAATACACATTAGAGTGTCTAGTTTGAGAAACAGACGCCTCACAGGTCCTCAACAGGCAACTTCATTAAATAGAACCCACAAAACACCAGTCTCAACGTCAACAGTGAAGAGGCGACTCCGGGATGCTGACCTTCTAGGCAAAGTTGCAAAGAAAAAGCCATATCTCAGCCAATAACTGGCCAATAAAAAGAAAAGGTTAAGATGGGCAAAAGAACACAGACACTGGACAGAGGAAGATTGGAAAAAAAAGTGTTATGGACAGACGAATCGAAGTTTGAGGTGTTCGGATCACAAAGAAGAACAATTGTGAGACGCAGACCAAATGAAAAGATGCTGGAGGAGTGCTTGATGCCATCTGTCAAGCATGGTGGAGGCAATGTGATGGTCTGGGAATGCTTTGGGGGTGGTAAAGTGGGAGATTTGTACAGGGTAAAAAGGATCTTGAAGAAGGAAGGCTATCACTCCATTTTGCAACGCCATGCCATACCCTGTGGACGGCGCTTGATTGGTGCCAATTTCCTCCTACAACAGGGAAATGACCCAAAGCACAGCTCCAAACTATGCAATAACTATTTAGGGAAGAAGCAGTCAGTTGGTATTCTGTCTATAATGGAGTGGCCAGCACAGTCACCGGATCTCAACCCTATTGAGCTGTTTTGGGAGCAGCTTGACCGTATGGTATATAAGATGTGCCCATCAAGCCAATCCAACTTCAGGAAGCATGGGGTGAAATCTCTTCAGATTACCTCAGCAAATTGACAACTAGAATCCCAAAGGTCTGCAAGGCTGTAATTGCTGCAAATGGAGGATTCTTTGACGAAAGCAAAGTTTGAAGGACACAATTATTATTTCAATTAAAAATCATTATTTCTAACCTTGTCCATGACTACATTTCCTATGCATTTTGCTATATTTCCTATTCAAACTCATTTCATGTATGTTTTCATGGAAAACAAAGACATTTCTAAGTGACCCCAAACCTTTGAACGGTAGTGTATATATATATATATATATATATACAGCTTTAGGGAGACAAACAAGTATGTGTGCTGTGCACCAAATGGTTAACTAAGTGAAAACATAAACTAGAAATGTTTTGCTCTCACTTGAGTGCATGGCCTTCACATGATGCCTTTTTGTACTATACTCATGCACCAAGCCACATTGCTTATTTGTGTTGCAAAGTTACTTACTACATAATGATGCCCATTGTTCCCATCATTTTTTTGCCATTTATTAATAGGAAAATCTTCACGCAAATGACTTGCCCATAATTCATGAAACACAACTGAAAATGTTTTGCCTGTTGTACATTGCTGCTTTGTGTGTATGTGTGTGCATGTGTGCGTGCATGAGTGCATTCAGGTGTGTGTGTGTGTGTGTGTGTGGAGGAAGAGAGAAATGGAAAGAGGGAGATAACCCACTGCCTCAGATCTCATCAAATGTCTATGCAAGGCAAAACTCTTGCCCAAATGGGAGAATATCAACAAAGTTGTTATACACAGGGTTGACTTTTTATTATTTTTTCCAATAACTTTAAAACAGTTTTACACATATTCAAAAAGCATATCATACCCACTGCCTAACCTCTACTTTATAAAAACTAACCCATTTATAAAACTTTAACACATTATAAAAAGTTAAGCCATACACCAGAATGATACCATTATTTACATATCCCGTTAAATTACAACATAAATTAGAAAATATTTACAATCAAGGTAAAGATAACGGGGGGGGGGGGGGGGGGGGGGGGGGGGTCCTCTGTTTGTAGTTCATTTTCTAATTAAAAACACTATTTTTCAAAAGAAATATATACATTTAGCATACACAGACACACGCTCACACAACATAACACATACACACTTGCTGGTGTACTGGCTGGAAGAGATACAATTTAGATGAAAATGGCTGATTATGATTGGATACAGTTAACATCAACATGGAATAGTTTGTACTGAAGGTGAGGGATATCTAATCTTGTCGGGGACTGATTCCTTTTACATTGCAAACTGTAAAAATACTAAAGGAACCAATGGGCAATGTAAGTACTTAAAGACAGGATTAAAATTAACAAAGACCCCATTGCTGTGGTTTTTGTCACAGCCCACAAGTAACCATCCCTTATCGAACACTGAATGGCTGCCATTGCAAATCATCTTAAAGTTTCTGGGGAACGTAGACAAACAAACAGGCTCTTTTTTTAAAATCAGACCTACTAAAGAAACTCCCATGAACAAAGCACAATAACACTGTACCCATTGAAGTCGTTATGAAAATTTAAGCAACAAAGAAAACAAGAATGAAGTGGATTTTCTTATCTCCAGTAAAAAAAAGTGTCCTTTGGTAAGTCCAATGGGAACTGAGCACCGCGGAAGAGACACAGGAAATCAGAGGATTTGTCTCCAGACAGAAGAGGAGGGAAAAAAAGCTGAAAAGAATTTACAGCCACAGCGACCCATCTTGAAATTATGTCCTATAGGGAAACAACAAAGTCTGTTTTCTGTTCCTTTCCCCATGTCAACAGAGTCCAGGCCCTTTGGCTGTAAGCAGCTTAAGCACCTACTATTACAGTAGGCACCAAGGTAGGTCGATCTCGCATTGAAACCAGCCAATGGTAGTAACAGGGCAAAAGAAAGGACAAGTCTTTTGAAAAACTCTACTCGTAAAAGAGCACAGGCCATAATAGGGGAAATTGTAAATTCAACTGTGCGAAAACCCAAACGATCTAGAATCGGAATCATATCGACCAATTTCGCTACTAAATAGGATGTCAAAGTAGTCCAAAGGGGAAAGGGGGGCTATACAGTCCAACGGGAGAGCATTTCCTCATTTCCTGTGCTTCTCCATTTTGTCGGAGGCTTTGCTACCGTTGTCGGAGGAGCCCTGCGTGTCGCTGCCAGAGCTCAGGTACATTTTGTCCACCTGTTTGAGGGCCTCGTTCAGGTAGTTCTGGAGGGAGGTCATGGCGGCGCAGATGGCGGGTGAGCCGAATCCGTGGGTGATGAGGCTGAAGTGGGTCAGGCAGCTCTGGATTCCCTGATCCAGGATGGGCGCCGGTCGCGAGTTCCCCAGAGGCGAGCGGTCCTGAGTCAGCAGGTCGGTGAACTCCTTACAGATTTGCCTGTCAAAAATAAAAATTAGATAAAGGTTAACGAAATGTACATGACCAAGACATAGAGTATTGGATTTATGTTGAAGGTATAAGGTGAGGAACTTGTCTGTCGGTCTTGCTTTAAAGACCAAAATTGGCTAAAGAAAATTGTGATAAATAAAGAAGTATACCAGTTTCATTTAAGAACCAAAAAACGTACAGGTTGCAAAATAGTTGGGAGGAGATTTTTGATGTACCGATTCCATGTCACATGGTCTATGAACTGATACACAAAACGACGCCGATTCAAAACTTAGTTTTTCAATTTAAATTATTATACAAAATTCTTGCAACCAATAGAAAGTTATATATATGGGGAATACAACCATCCCAGCTCTGCATATTTTGCTTCGAAGAGACAGAATCATTAGATCACTTTTTTGGTACTGCCCATATGTAGCTTGTTTTTGGTCACAGGTTCAGGAATGGCAGAAATATTGCAACATTTACTTGAAGCTAACTCTGCAAATAGAACTGCTGGGTGATTTGAAAAGTCATAGTCAATCGATCAATAATATAATTTAATAATAATTTACAATCCTGTAGAAATGATGAGAATAGAAAGGTTCAGAACTTTTGTGAAACATCACAGCAGAAAAATATATGGCAGCTAGAAATCAAAACTGGATGGTCTTCAGATATATGGGCGGGGTTGAGGGTAGCTGAAGGCTGGGACTAAAAACAAACAAAAGAAAACGAATGTAAAATATACTGTCTGTGAAATGTATGTAGTATGGAAGTGGAAGCCTAAGTATTGTTGTCCATTTGTTTACTCCAATTAGGGGAAGGGTGGTAGGGTTAGGGGAAAATAATAAAGAAGGAAAATATATTTTAAAATATATATATATTTAAAATAATATATATATTTACAAAAGAATACATGTGGGGGATTGGAAATGATGGAGACAATTACATTGATAGAAGCTGCAATCTATCTGCAATATTAAAGCTGATCCACTCCTCCCCCTCCCCCCCGCCCCCAACACCAAAAAAATTTAACAAAAGATGACAGGAATTAGATAAAGGTAATGAAATGTACATGACCCAGACATGGACTATTGGATTTATGTCTAGGTGACAATGATCCACTTATAGGCGTACACTGTTTCTTGTAGACACTATGAAATTGGGAGGTCTTAAAAGTAGCCAAGACATCAATATGTTTTATTAATCAATAGCAGATTGAAAACTACTTGAAAACATGTTAACCGAGTCCAAACCTTCACGTACGTTCAAAACCCGCAGGGCTTTTATGTAAATTACATCCCTTCATTTGGAGGAGAGAACGAGAGAGAGAGACTCACTTGGCAGCAAGGAGCATGTTCTTGCGGGAGTTGACCTCATTGCGTTCCACATGTGGTCGACACAGGTAATCAGCGATGGCCTTTGCCGGAAACTCTGCCTCGCACACGTAGCCAAAATCCCTTGCCAAGTGAAGGGCTTCACCTATAAAGACAAAGACACAGTTTGAAAACTCAACAAACACACAAGTGTTGCACACACATAAAACACACAAACAAACACACACACAAAAACACACAAAACTCTTATCTAAGAGACAAATGCGAATGTGGTCTTGCTGACATACCACATCCCACAGGGGGCACTATATGTAAAAAGGGGAACATTGAAGTGGTGCAACGTAAATAATCAGTTGCGCTCAGTCTCTTGGCTCGGGGGAAGCTGTGCCACTGAGATGAATATATCCCATCTTCAGGGGGGACTTCCTGCATGGTCTTTAATGGGCGTATGTGGCTAACTGCACCTGGACGGCCTGTAGCACCAAACAGAGCCACTTATTGATAGACACACACATCACTTGGGGAATGTAGCTATGCAGAAACACTAGGCTTTAAGGTCAGTTGACCCCCCTGGCAAGTCAAACACGTTATAACAAGCCATAATTCAGACTTTGAAGGTCTCTAAATAATACTGGCCCCGAGTCATTCTCCTGCACCGAACCAGAAACGAAATGACACGTAGCTTCGGATGGCTAGGCGCACAGCTATGCGTCATTGCTTAGACATTGTCTAGCCGAGGTATGACTAACGAAAGCGTCAAAGACCAGATTTAATGAAAAAGTAGACAGAGGTGACTATCCTGCCTAAAAACAATAATTGAAACAAGAAAAATCTTAATGAAATATTTTGCCCTGAAAATTATTTCAGGAGATGGGTATTTTACATCTTTGAAGAGTTTATGTGTGATTTGAAAGACAGGAAGGTTACAAGCTACACGTTTCTTTGTCCTTTGGTCGCATGTGCCGTATTAGATAATGTTACAGACTTAATAGACAGGGTTGGACTCCATGAAGTTGTGTTTCAGGGTTATTCTCTTGCTCTACAGGTCTTGGCCTGCTGCTTGCTAACCTTAAAATGTCACCATGACAGTCAGGGTGGATAACGTCAAAGCTTCCTTGATTGTCAAAGGCAGAGAAATGTAGTGAAAGACAAAATCAAACATCAGCTAGGTCAAAATGAGGAAATTACAAGACAAAGACCAGCCACAGCTACTTTTGAAGCCAAGTTACAGTAAGTTTTATACAGGAAATATAATAATAATATAGATAATCATGTCACAGTAACAGATCGCAGAGTTTAGGTTCACCATATAAATATAATGAATAGATGGTACAACACCAGTGGAAGTGGTGTAAAGAAAACAACCATCTTTGATGGGCCAGGATGACTACAAAGATCATCCAAATCTACAAAGATCAATCCAAATGTTGCTTATCACATCTCTGTGTATTATATGTGCAACAATGAATTCAATTGGCTCTCCATTTTGGACGAGCCAACTTGTTCAAGGAGTAAAGATGGAGACGAGTTCTAAGCATTGTATTTCTATGATGTCATATATGTTGAGGTTCATTGACCACAGTTTTATATATGAAGAGGGAAACATTGGGCAGCGTACCTTCTACCAGTGCAGTTAGCAGGGTGACATTAGCAGCCTTCCTCCTTCCAGCGGGCAGATTGAGCCCAATCTTGTCCAGCTTCTCTCTCAATGACCGGCCACCATTTTTAGACTTGGCTCTGTAGGAGAAATAAGGGCAAAGATAGTTAGTGTCATCATCGTTACTTGACAAATGTCCCCTTTCATATAAACAAGGCCACAATGGGGTAATTTATAGTGAAGAAATTGTGGTGTCTGAATTCAAAACGGTCCCTCTAACTAAAGAATATAGCATATTCTATAGGCTATTTGTGATGGAATGGTTTTTCTATGAAGCGAAGAGTAAGCATCAATAAGTGATGTTGTAAGGGCTACTGTCACCGTAACTTCAGACTTCCTACCACTTTGAGAAAACCTAGCAGCAAAAGGCTCATCTTACATTTTTGAAAACCAATAAAATCAAATGAAAAAGAGCCTTGATACCCATCCTAACCTAAAAAGAAAATACACAATGACACAAATGATGCTTCTCCCGCCCTAAGAACATAGCAGGGAAATCACACACACTCACTCACTCACTTAAACACACACACAAACACTAACATTCTCCACTCGCTGTAGCCAATTCAGTTTTCCGCATGACTGAGTGGCAGGCTTCGCTCCCTCCGTGGCGGGTGAGAGAGACAGCGTCTTTGGGGAGGCGTGTGTGACTGCCTCCCTCCCTCCACACCCCCTCCTATCGCTTCATGACCTACTTAACAGTGCCTCAGATTGTGTTTATGTGTGTGTGTGTGTGTGTGTGTGTGTGTGTGTGTGTGTGTGTGTGTGTGTGTGTGTGTGTCTGTGCGTGTGTGTGTGTGTGTGTATGCGTGTGTGTGTGTGTGTGCGTGTGTGTGTGTGTGTGCGTGTGTAAGCGGCATTCATGCGTGTGGCACTAGCCGGGGCACAGGGGAAGTAAAAAACTTGCATTCCCAGCAAAAATAGGCAGGAGCCCTGGTCAGGGGCGAACCCCCTAGTCCCTCAACAGACTGCCTGCTGACATATGGGTCAGAAGGTCAACTGCTCAGCAGCAATTAAAACAGCCCTGTAGCCCCCCCCTGAACTCATAGATACACACACACACACACAAACACACTCTAACATACTGGTGCTAGCTACTCTGATGTAACATATCCCCAAAGCGAAGAACCCGGAATTGCAGAGCACACACAAAGGTAGTCACGGTGCATCCACACAAACACTGAAGAGGAACAGCAACAAAGCCAAAGCTGCTTTTAGAGAAACACTTTGCTAAATGTTCCTAAACTAATGTCTGTCCATGAACCAGGTATGAACTTTCACAGTATAGACCTGCACTCTTATTAAAAAAGGTTCCAAAAGGGTTATTCGGCTGTCCCCATTGGAGGACCCTTTTTGGTTCCAGGTAAAACCGTTTTAGGTTCCAAGTAGAATCAAAACAGTTCTACTTGGAACCAAAAGTGTTCTTCCTGGAACGAACAAGGGTTCTTCAAGGGGCAGCCGAAGAACCCTTTTAGGTTCTAGATAGCACCTTTTTTTCTAAGAGTGTACAACTGAGTATAGACCTACAATCTTTTACTAGCTTAGTGTCCAGCAACCGGAAGTAGCTCACTAACAATAGCTGTAAAACAGCAGCAATATCAGACTAAACTGAGACATATATTGTATGCACATCTCACCGTGATCTCCTAACTACACCACATCACATCAGCTGTACCACAATCACTGATCCTTTGAGCTGCTGTGAACCAAATTTTAACGAACTAGATGTTGGCCATTGTTCACAATTGCACCCAATAAAAAACAGTAACACCTGCCGGTATAATACATTACGATGCAGTTATGATGCATTTGTTTATTTAAATGTTCAGGCGAAAACTAAACTTAAAGCCGACAGGTATAGCGTATTATGATGATGTTAAAATGCTTTGCAATACATGTTTCACACCCCTTATAATGTCTTAGAACCATCTCATAATGGATTCACGTTGTGTGGATACTGACCTGCGCAGGACTCCCCCCAGCAGGGAGGCGTTGAGGCATTCGGGAGGGGACAGACGCCGCTGCACCTCTGCCACTGTCACCTTGTACTTGGAGGTGGAGCTGAGAAGCGAGAGTCGTCCGGGCACCGAGCAGAACACCTCGGTGGGGTTGGACACCATGCCTAGCAGGGACTCCTTCTGGAAGGGCAGGCCCAATGAGTTGCCCTTGGGGAGAGACATGGGGCCTGGGAAAGGGGTGGAGAGAGAGGAGAGGTTCGTATGGGTGTAGGTTAATATAGATGTGAAGAGAAATGGTAGGATTAGTAAAAGTAAGAGTAAAAGTTGGAGTATCAAGGTAAATGTATTTGTATTGTCCCATTGGGAATTTTTGTTTAAAGGGAGGACAGACGGACATTATACAACATTATTGGACTTTCTGGAGGTTGTGCTACATTGTAAAAATGTTCCGGGAGAAGACACTGTTTCTTTGACAAATTCTGGTTTTGAGTCATCAAGGCTGGCTGCGTTTGCTGACAGTTGTAAATGTCATTCACACTTTTTGTAACCTCCAAACACTGCAGCTTGGATTCCAACTTTAACATGATTTTCCTTATAATAAACTGTGACATTTAACACCATCATAATGATTTGTAAAAAATCTGGGTGACTGAACTGTTACACGTAAACAACAAACATGTTTCCTTTGTGGAAGCCAAAATGTACACTAAAAATAATATCTGCGGTGTCACAGCTAAAAGTCCCCTCATTCCTACCACCCACTGACATGACATCCGCACACATCCACAACTGCTCCATGCTTCTTCACAGAGGGAAGATCTCAATTGCTTACTCCTCGCGTCCTCTCTCCTCTCTCCTCATCTCCTTCTCAAAACCCATTGGATGAGAAAGCCAGAGGTCCCTCCCCTCTGACCTTCTCCTCCAATGGGTTTTGAGAAGGAGACAAGGAGAGAGGACGTGAGGAGTATGCAATTGCAATCTTCCCAATTAATCCCTTATCCCTGCCTTGCCTATCTGAAGAAACAGGGCCCAAATTGGACGGCCATTTTGGATTAAACGTTCAAAGGTCTGTAGCTACTTCTAATTGAGTGACTAAAAATAACCTAATTAAAGACTTGCCCAACTGGCAAACTGGGTGGCCATTTTGGGTCAAAAGTTCAAGGGTCAAACCAAACAAGTCACACCCAGACAAACATAGACGTACACTACATATACCTTCGTCCTCACCAGCAAGAATGCCCCCCTCATAATAAGTCCTCTGTAAGTGATCAAAGTTCCTGCCCCCTCGTAGTCCTAGTACTGAGAGAAGAATCACAAAAGGGGGGCAAAATTATGATTTAGAGCTCATCTATTGGCTAAATGGCTACGAGGGAAGTTTTGCTGTCACCGTTTAGAATGTACAGTAGGCTGTAGGCTACCCACAGTCTGCCATTGAGGGTAAGACCAATAAAGTCAGCCATCGCACATTTTAACGACAACTATTTGTTTATCGTACAACTTGCTACCTCCTTAATACTGTATGTTTGATCAGATTATCGTATTGATTCCAATCTGAAAATCAACAATGTCCACCAATGTTATGAGTGTCTGAAATCCAAAATGCCTGCAATTGAGAAAAATATGTATGCAAAACGAGGCATTAGGAGCATTTAGGTAGCTTTAACACAAATGGTTATAGCTGGATTAAATATAATATTCAAACCTTCTACTGCCTAAATGGCCATCAAAATCTTTTGGCTAAAAACATAAATAGGTACTTGAGCATGCACATTAGGCTATTCTATATCATGTTAACTATACATTTGTTCACATGCTTCATCGTGTTGCGCAGTTTAGCATTATACATGTAGGCTTTACTACAGAAAAGACAACATCAACTACTCTTTACCATTCTTGCCAATGTTGCTAAGGACATGTCATTCACACTACTATCTGTAGTCACCCACCATTCCACAACAATGTTATCTATCATTACAGTTCTTTAACCTATATGTCTACAGTGATGTTGTTTTAACAAACCTTACAACATCTATAATACATATACTACTAATATGATCAATCCAATACCTACATAAATCTATAAATTCATTGAGTTACAAAAGTGGTGCAGAATTTCAAATCAATGCACAACATGACCTTCTTCTGAGTGAAAGACTGTTGAAGGAATGGCGTAATAGATAATACTCTGAATCCTCCTCACGCAAAACATTTCATGCCCCAACAAATTACTGAATTGCAAGCAGGACGCCACACCCCACCAGTGAGTCTCGAGAAATTACAGTCCATTGGACTGCTTTTAACTGGAATTCAAAAAGACTCGAATGCACCAGCTTAGACCTCTAAAGACTATCCAAAGCTCTCGCTCTCTCTCTCTCTCTCTCTCTCTCTCTCTCTCTCTCTCTCTCTCTCTCTCTCTCTCTCTCTCTTCTCTCTCTCTCTCTCTCTCTCTCTCTCTCACTCTCTCTCTCACTCTCTCTCTCACTCTCTCTCACTCACTCTCGTCAATGCAGGATTTCAAGGATTGCACAATGTCCTCACAGTTACATCTTGTCAGCTATAGCCTGCCATTTTGAAAAGGTTATTTTTCTGGTGCTCTATTCAAACGACCTCAGCACGAGAATACATACAGGGTCAAACTAGGCTTAGTTAAGTGCACCTCATGACTATGGGGATTATCGATGTATGTACGAACAAGTACAACGAAAAGCCTTTCCCATTCCGAATTTTTATAATGAAATCAAAGGACATCACTGTGCAAAATATTTGTAGAAGTCGATTTTCCCAGGTATGTACTTAGTAACAAGCAATCTCAGAGATGGAGTTGATGGAAATAGCACTTAATGTTTCTCTATTGCATCCTTGTTCCCTGTTGCACACCAATGGCTGACTGCACAAGCAGTGCCTTATACACCAAGCATGTCTACCTCACAAACCAGTAAGTGAATATTGTCTTGAAGTGGTAAAAGCATTTCTCAATTTGTCAATATACAGTAGGAAAGTACCTATGTGGAAAGTAAAATAAACTCACCTTTTTTGATGACCGTCTGATCTGCCATTATAATACTGTGATCATCTACATGCTGAAAAAATAAGTTTTAAATAAGTGATGTTTTACTTAATCTTACACAAGGGGGTTTATTATGAAATATGACATTTACATTACATCCATTACATGAAACCATAATAAAATGTTGCATGCCTATTTATTTTTAGTGGAACCATTGTTTTAGATGTCATGCTTCGTTCAATTTCATTCAGCAACAAAATCACAATGAAATCACTCACTTGAACATCGTCCAGGCCATGGCCCATTTCGTGTAGTCCTATATTATCACCAATGACGGATGACTCGATGCTATGGGCGTGAGGCGATAGCAGCTCCGGCCGGCGGAAACCTTCTCTCCTCAAGGCGGACGAGCCGCCTTCCAGGCCCAGAATCTGACTAGCGAGTCCGCTTCGAGAATGAGGTCCGAGTCCTTCTTGACCCTGTCTCCCCGGCCATGATTGCTGCTGGTTCGACGACTGGTGTATGGAGTTGATGTTGAAAGGGTCGCCGAGGTGCGAGTAGGGGTCACTGGACTGGGGGTATGATATAGGCTGGTAGGGAGGCGGAAAATACGGAGGTTGGAATTCTGAGCTGGCCGAGTGGGAGAGGGATGGCGACGGGCTATAAAGGTGCTGGCTCACCGCGGGGAGGTGAGGTAACCGGGGGTTCCCATTGCTACTCCCGTCGTGCCTTTCCTGCGGACAGAGAGACCTTCGTTAAGGTTGACAATGATATTAAGATAAATTATAATATTTTGTGCCCCTTGTCAATCAAACAAATTCGTAGTTAATCAACAATCGTCGACAAAATTGGAAATAACAACTGTGTTGACAGCTAGGCCTGACATCGAGATTTATTTTTCACCATTGTTTAAGAAAGCATGGCCTACATTGTGAACTGTTTTACACATTCATGCCTAGGCTCACATTTAGTGGGCAAAATAAGGCAATTTATTTTATTGCAGTACTCAATTTCTGGAGGTTAACCTATTTTTCAGAAAAACGCTGTTCATCCCAGCCAAACCAATACATGGTTTCAGTATTCAAAGTAGCCTAATAATGCATAATTTGTTAAACTGAAAAGGAAAGGAACGAACAGCATTTCTCCTTTCTGCAATCTCTGTGGACTGTTGAGATATTGCTGTCACCACGATTGGCTCTCATAAAACAGTCAGGAGGGGACTATTTTACTACACATGTGGGCCTATAATAATAATAATAATTTTGTAATTGTAATTATTTACTATAACCTGACTTTGGCCTAGCTCAGAGAAATAAGCCTAAGTAAATCAAAAAGCTTTCCACTATCATTATAATCCAACTCATGTAACAAATTTACTTTACAATCCATATAGCTTAATCTAAAAGTTATTTACTGAAATCAAAACTACATGGCGTCAGTCTACAATGCATTAGTCGAGGAGATGCTGCGGATAGAGTCAAAGCCCATCGAGATTAGCCTATAGACATCTAATAATGTATCATATCTAGAAACATATTGACAATGCAAAGAAACCAGAAAACCAAACATGGGTGCCCTAATGCCTTGAAGTTTCACCAGCTGAATTCCATAAAAGCAAATAGTGACAACGGAAAATAGCATAAACCGACCACTGATCTGTCTTATTCAAAATGATTTATCATTTTAAAAATGTTGCATTAAAGTCGTTTTCATTCCGTCAAGCTATTATCAAGTAGTCTGCCTAAAAGCTATTGTCGCACGAAAAATATCGATAAAATAGGCTACCAATTTCAGATGCGATGGTGCGCATGAGGGCCAGAACATTTTCATGAAATAGTTTTTTCATAAATCCTAGCCTTGTTGAAACTTAGGCCCAATGTCGTGCGGTTTGTCTCTGTGTATAGTTAGAATTTACCTCGCAGTCGTCCTCGTACTTCACGTTATCTGCTAGTTTCCACAGCATAGTTTCTGACAGGCAAAATGTTACACCAAGAAGGGTGACCAGGAAAATTGGTGGTATTCTACGAGTTAATCCAGGTAGTAAATGAAGTAATACTGTACTTCCTAGAAATCATGAATCAACTTCTTCAACCCGAGTGGAGGCGGCGGTTCCTTGAAGCGCACTGACGTTTGAGCGTGATTCGGGCGGCTATCAACATAGGTCTCAACAGCAACTGAGTGAAAACAGTTGTCAAGCAAGATCCCTTTCCAGCCCGACGACGCAGTAAGCAGTACTTCAGTGAATATGGGAAGAAGCGCTGAATAAGAAACTTGACTCCCTCTGACGGACAAAGTGATGATGTTCAAACCTTTTCTCCTTACTGAACCCGCTTGGAAGCATGTGTACTATATTTGCATAGGTTATATATTTTTAGTGGGCGTGCCTTTGTCATGATGTCATCTTGAATATGGCAGAAGAAAAGTTTGCTGATTGGTTATTATTGGAATAACGAGCCAATCATATTGCTGTCCGTCTGCAGTTGCTCGCATGACACAAATATGATAGGATTAGGCCTAAACTTCCGATAACCTTACTATAGCTTAATAAAATAATAATAACAGGCCTACTTTATTATTATTGGTAATTGTGGCTGAATAACTGAATGTATTAATATTATAGTTGGAAAACTTGTTTTACAAAGTGATGACAATTATAGCCTATGAATGTAATTGAGAAAATCTATATATTTTTTTGCCATGTTAAGCAATACGATAATCAATGCAATGAGTACATTTGCAAAACAATAGCCTATATGCAAATCAATGTAAACCATTATGCGCGTATCCTCCAATGCGATCCACGCCAATAACATTGCAGGGCTGTCAAAATGTTGTTTCTTTTCTCACTTTTTTATTGACTCCATCAAATCATTCGATTAGAACAGGCGTTGGGTTCACTGGCAAAGCACTCCACCCATTGCTTGCCAACAGTCTGAAAAACGAATTAGCATATTTCGCTTAATACATCAAGCATCAAGGCGCTCATATCAAATATTCCGATTTCCATGCTAAACCTTTTTTATTTATTTGATTTGATTTTTTATAATTTACAATTACTTAACCTACTTACACTTACTTATGAATAATTACTTTACGGAGCTTCACGTTGCAGTTTGGTGCCTTCACAAACCTCAAAAACCCAAGGCTTAAAAGCATCTTCCTTCTCGGAACCACTAAGCACCAGGGATCTCAACGAAAATCTTCCTCAAAATGTAATTAACATTTATGGTGGAACACTGCAATATCCAAAATAAAGGTTCCCTTTGATGTGTTGATATGCATAACTTCAAGCAAAAGGGAGTATTTTAAAGACGATAGGCCTACACTTATGCTTGGGCTTTTATTTTTATTGTTAAGTTTCCAATATTATTGTGAAAGATAATTAGTCCTAGAGATAGGCTACAGTAGTAAATGAAAGGTGTGAATAATTTTCTGTCCGATAATCATTTATATCCATGGGAGAACAATACAGGTGTCTAAATTTATCATGAAGGTTTTGGGAATGGGATTATATGCCTGTTGCGTCTCTGGGAAACAATACAAATTGGTTAACGAAGATCAACTCATCCATGAACGACGCGGTGGCTTTAAGCTGCGTGTGGTTCTTCTGTGGGTGAAGTGATGTGAACCAGAAATTAATGCTCACTAATTAAGGGATCTTTACATCGCCCTGGAACAGAGTAAACGAGGTTAGACACGCAAGAGGAGCCTTGCCGTTCTGTTGTGAACAGTTTTTTGTTTTTTATAATTTCAATCGCCTATCATGTCAAGGCCGATTTGTTTAAACAAGGACTAATGACAGAATAGACAACTGTAAAGTAAATCGTTATCCATAAAAGCAATTAGCAACAAATGTTAGTCGTCACATGGGCCATGTGGTTTAAGGTGAATATGAAATGCTCATTCGAAATAGAAAAATAAAGAGGTGAATTATGCTAATATTATCTGTCACACTGAGGAATTTTGATGCACATGCGCAATCTCAAAGTAGCCTAACAAATGTGTATTTATAGTACTTTATTATTGAACCATTTATCTAGTGTAGCCTATAGTATATGTTATAATATGGTGCAAATTTGGTCTACTGAGTATTGTGAAAACCAGGAGACATAATGTTCTTGAAATGAATAGCACAAGCAAAGTTATCAGAAAACCAGTTGCCAATATGAACTATGAAGCTATGTCGCCTTTGGTCACGTATTTTTAAGTCACACGAGTAATAAGTGTATAGTGATCTAACCAGGTGTAAGGCAAATTCAGACCTATACTATTTATCTTCTGCAGGGTTTCAACTTCCTAAGTCGTGAGCACCCGAGGACCATCTTATTTCAATGGATCAACATTATATGGTCTATTATCATAATTATTGCCTTTAATAATTAATTCAAATAGCATATTTAGCAGCCACTATCAAATACCGCTGAGGAGCCTAGTCCAAAGGTCCTAAAAAAAACTATAACCTACAATTAATGTAACGTGCTGACTTAGGTCGAAAGATAGACAAGTAATAAGCCTTTAATATTTTCAAAAAACACAATAAAGCAAAACATGCATTAACTTACCCGCCAATCTAGCCTCTCCAGTAAAGACATCTGTAAGGAACGCAGTATAATTCCAGTGGTGTGGCTACGAATGAGTGAATTCGCAAGTGGTCTATATTGCTGATTTCACCTGGTTCTCTTGGAATGCGCATGCGCCCTGCATGGTAATACACCTGAGTGAAGGCCTATGCAAATTCCAGTTGTAAGCTACTCTGATGCTGTTAGACTTTCCTACATCTCTCTGAAATTGTATTGCTGTTGAATCTACACATTCCAGAGTAAAATCTTACTAAAGTGTATCTTCATCGAATAAAGAATTTTGTAAACCATGGGAGGAGCTGCCAATACAGGCTTAGGCCTATTTATTTTCGTTTCTTTCCATTTCGATCAACTACAGCTCAATTTTCTTATACAATTTATTCTGGGAATTCTTTGGGCATAAACCACTAGACTAATTTCATCCCGTCTCATATAAACGTTAAACTTATTTAGACTATCGTAAACTTGTGTAGGGTACATAGATTAAAATATGTATCCTGAAATAGTGCAACTTCAAAGCCAAATGCCAGAGGATAAGAATAGCCTACAGCGAAATACCTGTCAACTAAGCTACTTACTAAGGGCTACTACAAAATCAACACATTATTGACGCATTCCAATTTTCGTTCAATGAACGGCTGAAGGCTAACAAAAATCCATAGCCTGGCTATACTTTAAGGTTTCATTCAAATTGATAATGAATCACAATGCACATTATTATGCAATGACTAATCATATGCCTATATCGTTTTTGGTATTTATTTGTGCATAATTGCGTTGAAAGAAAATTATTGTTCTCTTGACTCTCAATTTATACGCGATGTACTGTGAAAATGTAATGTGAATGAATTCATGAGAATGCTCGCACCATTTGCTTCAGTTTGATCCATCTTTGAGGACTACATGAAGGTTATAAATATATCTGTAAAATGCCTAATAATTAAGAAAAAAATACAATACACTTTTTTTTTTACAAGGGCATGGGATTTGGGAAAAATGAAAATTACAGCTCAGAGTATGTAGACAGGCCTATAGGGCATAGGCTACAGGAAATTGAAACGTTGAGGGGCTTTCCTCAGTCTTTCATTGAAAGAGTAGGCCTACACACATACTGTATTTAATTTATTTACTTGCATGAGAAACAGAATTCCCCAATGCGCCTTTTTCCAGAGGTCATATCCTTAGTTAGTAGAGTCTAGTTATCCGCAGAGAAGAATTCCAGAGGTCTACTCTGCTAAGTAGAATCTAAGGCAAAGTTAAATCTCTGCTGCCATCGTGTGACAGGAATTATTAAAGCCTTGACACCTTTCTGTGAATTCATATTTGCACTTTGAGCTCTTTTGGGTTCATTCACACTTTCATGGTAATGTATTAGAAGTAGGCTAATGTAATTTAAATCCAAATATACCTTAAATGCTATAAACCCACCCTCAAACCTGAAAAACACCTGAAGTGTCATGAAAAGGTGAGGTACACTAGTTACAATAAATATACTGTAAATGTTTTTGTTTTTTTAAAGCAGTAGTTTGGTGATACACCCAAAATACCATCTGAAAGGGACAAAAAAAATATACCGGATTTATTCGACCTAATGCACCTTTACTTGTACACACTACTATAATGTTGTTCCATATAAAAAATTACTACATTTTTAAAGTAAAAGGACAGTCTTTATTTTGATATTGTTTGGGTTGAGGGGTGAACAAACATAAGTGGAAAAATGTATTTAAAAGGTAACCATTTAAATAAAAATGAAATATGCACGTTTTTTTCCCCCCATCTATATTTTGATGGGTGGTGGTGGGTGACAAGCTATTTGGAGGAAACATCAACATTAAGTATAGACAATGTTTATGGAAGTAATGAGCTTATTGAATACACATTTTGAATGAACACTACAAAAATTCACTATTCCACTTCCTATAGCAAAAAGATAAACTACGACCTTGAAATATAATTTCAAAACATTTGTATGTCATATTGCATAGGAAACCATAATCAAAAGATTAATCATAATGACTTGCCAAATCCACATCTATACATAGAAACCTAGATAGATACCTAGATAAGACCAATATATAATACAGCCATTCCTAGCCTGAGCCAAGAATACCTATAAGAAAAAGTAATCTGTCAAATTCCTTAACACTTTACTTGAAGGATACCGACATAAGGGCTTCATAACCCACATATCACATTCATAAGCAGTAGCATGTTGATATTGCCTTTATGTCACAGAAATGTGAACTTTGAACTTGCAGTTGTTGACATAAGCATTTATGAAATGCTCACGTACTGCTTATGAATGTATTAAGTATGGGTTATGAATGTGTTATGAATAACTTTTTATAGATACCCTTCAAATACACAACCTGGTTGTGTGTGATGCCTGCCATGACCACTTGGGGGTGATATAGGGGAGGTTAAGTAATTTAGAAATGGTAGGGGGTGTGGGTGACCCAGTTGGAGGTCTGGGCTTTGGTGCGTTTGGCTGAACTGTGGCTGGTGAAGAGAGATTTGTAGGTCTCCGACTTCTCTTCCATGGTCTGGATGGACCGCTTGCTCCCGGTTGCCGCCAAGGGTGTAACCACCTTGGAGGAGCTGGAAGAACCAGGGGGTCCAGGGAGTGCTAGGGGGAGAAGACATCATTACCATTAATGACGATTGTGTAGGATAAAATAAAATATACTTTTTTTGTGCCAAACGGAAATTGGTCTTCTGCCTATCTCAATCCCCCCAAATACACACACACACACACACACACACACACAGGGGTTTAGTGCCTTGTTCAATGGAACAATAGCAGTTATAGGGTTAGAAACATCATGCTGCTGAGTTATGAACTATAAGGTGAGGTTATAGTGTCTGAAAGGCAATATCTAAGAAAGGGTGTTGAAAATTAGCGCAAGCAACACACTATGGTGCACTGATTCAGATGACTTTGTTCAAAGTGTTAAAGGGATGCTTCAGGATTTTGGCAATAAAGCCCTTTATCTACTTCCCCAGAGTCCGATGAACTCATGCATACCATTTTTATGTCTGCGTGCAGTAAGAAGGAATATGCTAACTAGCGTTAGCGCAACTGCTAACTAGCATTAGCGCAATGACTGGTAGTCTATGGTAACTGCTAGCAAGCTAGTAGATACCATAGACTTCGTCATTGTGCTAACGCTAGTTAGCATTGGCTGGTGAAACTACCTCTAACTTCCTTCATACTGGATGCAGAGACATAAATGGTATCCATGAGTTCATCTGACTCTGGCGAAGTAGATAAAGGGCCTCAAAATCCCCAAGTATCCATTTCATGTGTTTGTATCTCTCCCTACTAAAATAAACCACAAATACCTGGCTGGCTGCTGTCTCCACCATTTTGTGTTGAAGTTTTGCCCTCTGCAGAAACGGTTTCAGTGGACTCTGGATTTTCTATATAGGAACAAAGAAAGTTTTAACAAACATCCAAAACACTGGCATTTTTGGGAGAAAAACAGAATGTTTCCGAAACATTTCATGAAGCTCCCGTCTGTGTATGAAAAGAGAGGTACAATCTTTGACAATAGTGTGAATATGAATACATTGAACATTGGCATCATATGTTCCAAAAGCTAATCAAAGTAGGTTGGAGTGGGTCTTTAACCATTACAAAAACTCAGTTTGACCTGATGAACATCTACCTAGTCCCGTGTAGCTCATTTGGTAGAGCATGGCGTTTGCAACGCCAGGGTTGTGGGTTCATTTCCCACGGGGGACCAGTATGAAAAAAATATATTTAAAAAATGTATGCACTCACTCTGGATAAGAGCGTCTGCTAAATGACTAAAATGTAAATCAATAAATGTTTTCATTGAAGTTATAGGTTAGTTTGAGAGCAATATTTAAGTGACAATGCCCGAGAAGCCGGTGTTTGGAGGATGGTAACTTGTGGAATAGACACCGGCTGGAATGCGGTTTTAACCAATCAGCATTAGACCCACCCGTTGTATAAAGGCTAACATGGACCTTTGTGCTGACACTGTGCTAAAACCGCATTCCAGCAGGTGTCTATTCCACAAGTTACCACCGGCTAAATCTGACGTTAAAATGCCTATTTACTCGGTTCCATCTGACTGCGCAATCCACTGTCTCATCAGCCCAGCCAGGCAATTTATAAACTTGATGTCCACTATAAAAAGCATCTAGACATTATCTCACATTTCTTTTAGACTAACATTTAGTTTTCAACAGCGGAGATTTGTATAAACTTTGCTGTCTGTCTCTATGACATTTGCAACATTGTTTCAATATTCAAATTCGATCTCCAGCTGTCCCATAGTAATGAACGTGTCGGGAGTCGGGATGAGACAGACCGGCAGGCAGCTTTTCTTAGCCAATCGAAATCATGAATCAGCATAATTTTTATGGATATATACAAATAACTATCAATAGAAAACAGGTCAAACGAAACGAAGTGCAGCTAGTTTGCTGTCATTCCAGCTTCAGTTTGAAGTGATTGTGGTAGCTGTGTTGTTGGCTAGCTCCTCTGAACAACAGTGTCCTGACGAGAGCACATTTTCTACGCCAGGCGAAATCGTGCATCATTAGCTCATTGTTATGGATGTATCTAAATAAATGTCACTAGAAAACAGCTTCCATTGAAAGTCCAAATTATTTTAAGTGGGTGGCAACTGAGCTAGGCAGGGGGCAATATCAATGTGGAAAAGCAAAACTGTAATTCATTCTGCAAACCAGTTGTACTAATTTCTGCCTGTGTGTATACAAAACCCAAATATGATATTTATCAACCATCATTGTCACTTCCTACCTTTTGAGTCAGACTGCTTGGCAACAGTCTCAGCAACTTTGCTCTTCGTTGATTTCTACAAAAACAAAGATCAATAGCTAGGTTTCCATCCAATTGGCGACAGACTTTCATGCAAATATTCTTGAATGCGTCAGGTAATTCATCCCCATGAAATGGTTGGATGGAAACGTGGTAAATGTTACAGAATTTCCAGGTAACTGACATAACCAGTAAGGGGCGAATCCTTACTTCCACTTACAGTAAATACAATTTTCACTTTGACATCAACGCATCATGCATGTTTAAAAATGTTATTAGAAAACTCTACGAATGTGTACCTTTGTTGCCTTGGCCTTGGCTCTCTTCTCCTCCATTTTCTCCCTCAGTTTCTCCACCTCTTCCTTGGTCCCGTTGAGGACTACAAGGTTTTCTTCTTTGAACGGGTCACCACACTGCAACCAAGAGAAGGTTAAGTTAAGCCCCGACATTCTTATACATTACTTTCATGACATATGTTATGCTTTTGAGTATCTTATTTTAATCGATTAATTTAACATTACGGGGATGGTTTATGAAAGGAAAAGACATTTAGGGCTTCTCACCTCACCTACGGGTATGTAGTCTTGTTCAATGCAAATATAGAAGTTAAACAAACATTTATTTGGTGTACTTTAGAGCCACAACAACAAAGACATGAAGCAAGAAGGGTCATGGTTGAGCGAGTGTAATTCGGGTCAAAAATAGTGATGGAAGAAAAAAAATAGATAGTTACATATCGGGATATTATTTTTGACAATATATCGTATAGTATCATTTTCACAATATCGCAATATTATTTTTGTGCTAGTTGGCTGTACCTGCACCAAAACTTGAGTATTTTTCCTTTATAGCTTAGCTTGTTCTCCATCTTCTTTTTAAATAAGGAGGCAATTTGTTTTATAACTTTTATTTCCATGACTGATCAAAACTCATTTTCTCGTGGCTCTCTTGTCGCTCTGCAGCAGACATATAGTGAGCAATATGTTTGGACCATGGAATCGCAATAAAATCATAGTATTGAATCGCAATACATATAGCATCGTGAAAATCGCCATACATAACTATAAATCGGCACCTAAGTATCGTGATAATATCGTATCGTGAGGTGACTGGCAATTCCCAGCCCTAGTCAATAATACAATCCAAATCTCAATGGAACATAGTTACAATCTTAAAACAATAAATAACCTAAGCCTAGTACTAAGATAGTGGTGGCCAAATATATTGGCACCTTTCTTAAATAATTCCCCATTTCCTATAAAATAAGTTGAGATTGAAAAAAAACATTTAGCCTCCACATGTTATTGCACTGTCAACATTTCAGAACCCTCTTTTGGGGGGGAAATGTACGTTTACAATTTTAGCCTAATTAAGCTAACTAAAGCAAATGGCAAGGACAACATTGTTGGCACCCAGGAACAAATACTTGAGATAAAAAAGTCGCTTATTGTAGCCATTAAAAGAGCTTGCTGCAATCTTCTTTGGCCCACTCTTGAGTGGTGCCTTCCAACAACTGCTGTTTTCACGTCTCGCTATAGGTTTGATGGGACTCGAATTTGGAGTCATCGCTGGACACCTCCAGAACAGTTGTTTTTATTCTTGAACCGTTCCTGGGTGCTTTTTGATGTGTGTTTGGGTGGGTGTCCTGCTGGAAGACCCACAACCTTCAACAGAGACCCAGTTTTTGGACACTGGGTTGCACATTGCACTCCAAAACACATTGATAATCTGCTGATTTCATGATTTCTTGCACACTTTCAAGACCCCCAGTACCAGAGGCAACAAAGCGACCCCACAGCATTAGCAAACCTCCATGTTTGATTGTAGGGAGGGTGTTCTTTTCTTTGAATGCTTCAATTGGTCATCCGATCAGTAAACATAACACTGATTTGTATTGCCTAAGAGCTCAAATTTTGTTTCATTGGTCGACAGAACATTTCCCCAGGATTTAGGCTCGTTTAGGTGGGGTTTTGCTAAGTTCAATGGAGCTTGCTTGTGTCTCTTTCAGCAGTGGGCTATTCCTATGTTTACCAACAACCAAATGAAGCATTCAAAGAAAATAACACCTTCCCGTTCCTTTTTACAATCAAACATGGGGGAGGTTCAATAATGCTGTGGGGTTGCTTTTGCAGCTGAAGAGTGGGCTAAATTGCCAGTAGAAAGGTGCAGCATGCTCATTGACGGCTACAAGAAGCGTTTTTTCCCCCCTCAGTCATCTTTGCCTAAGGCTGTTTAACCAAGTATTAGCTAATGGGTGCCATTTGTTTTCATTTTCTTAATTAACATTGTAAATGTACGTTTCCCTAAAGAAAATTGGTTCTGCAATGTTGACAATCCAATAACGTGTGGAGACCAACATTGTTTTTCAACTTCAACTTATTTGAGAAGAAATCAGAATTATCTAAGAAAAGTACAAGGGTGCCAAATATATTTGGCTGCCACTGTATTACAATCCATGTCACACAAAGCTGACAGACATAAACAGCATACACTGCACTCGGAAAGTATTCAGACCCCTTGACTTTTTCCACATTTTGTTACGTTACAGCCTTATTCTAAAATTGATGAATTTTTGATATTTATCAATCTACACAGAATAACCAATAAAGCAAAAACAGATTTGTAGATTTTTTTCCAAATAACAAAATAAACAAAAACTGAAACATCACATTTACATAAGTATTCAGACCCTTTACTCAGTACTTTGTTGAAGCACCTTGGGCAGCGATTACAGCCTCGAGTCTTCTTGGGTATGACACTACAAGCTTGGCACACCTGTATTTGGGGAGTTTCTCCCATTCTTCTCTGCAGATCCTCTCAAGCTCTGTCAGGTTGGATGGGGAGCGTCGCTGCACAGCTATTTTCAGGTCTCTTCAGAGATGTTCGACAGGTTCAAGTCGGGGCTCTGGCTGGGCCACTCAAGGACATTGAGACTTGTCCCGAACCTACTCCTGCATTGTCTTGGCTGTGTGGTTAGGGTCGTTGCCCTGTTGAAAGGTGAACCTTCGCCCAAGGCTGAGGTCCTGATTAGTCCCCCAGCCACTGAAAAACATCCCCACAGCATGATGCTGCCACCACCAGGCTTCACCGTAGGGATGGTGCCATGTTTCCTCCAGACGTGAACCTTGGCATTCAGGACAAAGAGTTCAATCTTGGTTTCATCAGACCAGAGAATCTTGTTTCTCATTGTCCGAGAGTCCTTTAGGTGCCTTTTGGCAAACTCCAAGTGGGCCTTTTATTGAGGAGTGGCTTCCGTCTGGCCACTCTAGAGAGATGGTTGTCCTTCTAGAAGGTTCTCCCATCTCCACAGAGGAACTCTGGAGCTCTGTCAGAGTGACCATCGGGTTCTTTGTCACCTCCCTGAACAAGGCTCTTCTCCCCCGATTGCTCAGTTTGGTCGGGCAGCCAGCTCTAGGAAGAGTCTTGGTGGTTCCAAACGTCTTCCATTTAAGAATGACGGAGTCCACTGTGTTCTTGGGGACATTCAATGATGCAGACATTTTTTGGTACCCTTCCCCAGATCTGTGCCTCGACACAATGCTGTCTCGGAGCTCTACGGACAATTCCTTCCACTTCATGGCTTGGTTTTTGCTCTGAAATGCACTGTCAACTGTGGGACCTTATATAGACAAGTGTGCGCCTTTCCATAGGTGGACTCCAATCAAGTTGTAGAAACATCAAGGATGATCAATGGAAACAGGATGCACCTGAGCTCGAGTCTCATAGCAAAGGGTCTGAATACTTATGTAAATAAGGTATTCCTGTTTTTTGTGTGTTTTTTTAAATGATACATTTCCAAACATTTATGAAAACCTGTTTTTGCTTTGTCATTATGGGGTAGTGTGTGTAGATGAGGGAAAAAACTATTAATAATCCATTTTAGAATAAGGCTGTAACGTAACAAAATGTGGAAAAAGTCAAGGGGTCTGAATACTTTCCGAATGCACTGTATGCAGCCAATTGAAGTGGTTTCACGCAGTGTGCATGCAAACAGTTGTAGAAAAGGAATATGCAGTTTGACTACCACACATGATGAGAGGGGAGGCCATTATATCCCTAATTTGGCAGGCTAAAAGCAAATTGTGGGCGGGCGGCAGGTAGCTTAGTGGGTAAGAGCGTTGTGCCAGTAACCGAAAGGTCGCTGGTTCTAATCCCCGAGCCGACTAGGTGAAAAATCTGTCGATGTGCCCTTGAGCAAGGCACTTAACCCTAATTGCTCCTGTAAGTCGCTCTGGATAAGAGCGTCTGCTAAATGACCAAAAAAAATAAAATAAAAAAAAAATAAAAATAAAAAATAAAAAAAATAAAAGAAAATCACTATTCCACTCAAATCAACACAGCTTCTGTTTTTAGTGTTCTTTTTCCCGCTCTTCCATAAAAACGGACCTATGTGGATCACTACTGAATGTTTATTTTCATTACTGAGTGACACACATGTACACACACACACACACACACACACACACACACACACACACACACACACACATAACGTCACACTCAGCCACACAAAGACAAAAGCCCACCAGCAGGGGGGACCTATTGTGTCCTGGTGGCAGCTCAATGTGACCTCTGGCCATGTGGCCCTGTTAACACAACAATAACTAATCTCAGTCGCTGACCAGGCAGCAAACAAAACACTGGCTGAGGCTGTCTGCACAGTACTAAACCAGCCACAGCAGCAGAACCACTTAAGAACTCTCACAGGAGAGAGAGGGAGAGAGAGAGAGAGAGAGGCGAGGCAAGGATAAGATCCATAATCCATGCCGCAACTGCTGCAAATCTGACATTGGAAGGAAGAAGATTGTGGTTGCTTTGTTTTTTTTGTGTTAAATCAGAAATAGGGGAAGGAGAGGGGAAGGGTGGGGGGAGGAGAGAGAGAGTGATAGAGATACGGGGTGAGAGATGAAGCGAGAAAAGAATAGAGGTAGTTGAAGATCAATTTAAGGGTGCTAGGAGACTGTTGGGAAAGGTTGCCGGTGCTTGTGTATGGGTGTGTGTGTGCGCCAAATGAGAGAATCCGCCTGTTACCAGGCAGGGCCGGCCCTCATCTCAGGTGGGATGCAGAGGGAGCGCCTCAGCCACAGCCGTGAGGGCAAGAAATGACACACGCAGGCACACACACACACTCACAACAGAGATGCATGCGGAGTACAACGACCTCGCGAGCCACCCGCCGCCCTGAGACAACCACAACAAAGGCAGCGCACAGCCGACTGCAGCAGCATCAGCTCCACCTGCCCATCCCTTGCCAACCCATGGCTCCAGCTCCCTGCGTGCGCCTGGCTTGACTCCCTGCTGGTTCCGGCTCGCCATTTCTTGGGCAGGGGCTTAATGTTTAACCTCTTCTTCAGTGAAAGGACCCCGGGCTCAACTGCAATTAAGGTAACTGGCTAGCCTTATCCTCTGTGTGCGTGTAACACTAGGAGGTAACGGAAGATTGTATTTGCTCTGAGTCAAAATGTTGCTGAGGGGAGTATGCTATGCTGTGTGTGGTATTAAACATTCCCACGATGAGCTTTCAATTAATAATGCCTAAGAGTGTTTGAATATCTGGTTTATTAGTCAATCCATTAACGGGTGATAAAAATAAAAGCATGGCTCCATGAGAACTAGCAGTGTTTAATCCAACTAATAAATGGCAACAGGTGGTTCACATTCAACAAATTAGACCTACAGTGACACATTTGTACAAATAAATATAAAAATCTTGCACATACTGGATAATACACTGCTACCCACACGTAGTTTGCTTAGTTTCTAAATAAACGACGCCAGTTGACGGTTTCATTTCCTGTGAAAAAGTCTCCCATTAACTACAAACATGAAATCAATGGAAGTTCAATCATTTGCCATAAACAAACAAGACGGCTCTCTCTACTTCATGAATCAGTACGCCAAGAATGAGATAAATCCCTGGGGGTTCTATTCAACATTATCTGTCTGTTAACGGAATTACTGCAGAGACCAATCTTCTTTGTTCTTTCCTTAATGTCACAATGGCCTGTGTCGTGGATGTGGGAGACCCTTGGGATTTCATTACACATTTGCATAACAAGCCCAATGTCCAAATCTCTGCAACGGACTGCCACTGATTACAGGGTTCTAGCAAGTCTCAGGTGAATAAGTCGCACAAGTGGGCTATTAGGCAACTGCAGAGGGTGTTATAAGAGCAAAAGGTCTCCCTTTTCTACTGGATTCTTATTGATTCTCCACCAGTGGTAGCGCAGTGAACGAGCGAAGCAGTGTAGCTCACTTCTTACAAAGATAATCTGTTAGCAGGAACAACAGGTAGACCTACTTTGATTTACAAATGATTAAGAAAATGTATGAAGGTAATTATGGCTATGTGATCTTATTTATTTAGAGCCAGGGTATTGTGTATCTAGGAGCTAGAGAATTTCCATATTTCAAAACCTGTACACTGCACAAATACAAACCTTGTTTGCATGGCTAGGTTCAAAATTCAAATGTGCATATCTATTTTGACGTCTATGAGTCCATCTCTTGCATTGCTTAATGATGCATTTCTTCAACTTCCTGAGTCAGCTTCCTCAGTCTATTTAGGAGCATTATCTATGCATTTCCTCTCTACTCACTTTTATCATGTGTCATCTGTTGTGATCGGATTAATAAGAGCTCCATAAAAAGCTACTAATCTTTGCTGTGTGCTGGATCGTTAAACACCTCTAGAAAGAACCCCCGTATGAATTGCAACGAGGAAACACAGATTATTCTGAGATTGTAAAACATTGCCAATAATTGTGGTTCTTGTCCGATAATCTTCCATAAAACGTATGGAAGGGTTTGACTCTTTAAAAGACTTAATGTCTCAAGTCTGGCTTTGATGTTTTAAAGTACAGCCTAACCCTGGTCTTTTGTTGCAGGTGGTTGCGTGGTGTCCGTCCAGTGCTGGACTACTATGCTCCAGCTGGAAGGTGCAAAGTGCAGTTTCCTGTTCTGCCTGGGAATCTGCATGCTCATCTGCTCGGTCATCTACCTGTGGGCCAAGGATGGCACGGATCCCCAGGGTCAGAGCGGGCCCCTGGGCTGCAGGCCCTTCTCTCAGTACTGCCGAGCTTTCCTCCCCAGCACCAAGGGCTCACCAGCATGGCAACGCCGCGACTGCCAGGTGGAGAGCTATCTTCTGGGTATGGGGAGTCGAGGTGGGGACCTGGACTGCTCCCACCTGGTGAGGGAGCTTCACTTCATCACCAGCCCGCTGAGCCGCGAGGAGGAAGACTACCCTCTGGCCTTCATCCTCACTGTCCACAAGGAGCTGGAGCTGCTGGTGCGCCTGCTGCGGGCCATCTACACACCGCAGAATGTCTACTGTGTCCATGTGGACGCCAAGGCTCCGCGGGAGTACAGGGAAGCCGTGGCGAGCCTTGTGGGCTGCTTCCCCAATGTGTTCCTGGCCAGCCACAGCGAGATGGTGACCTACGCCGGCTTCTCACGGCTGCAGGCCGACATCAACTGCATGAGGGACCTGGCGGCATCGCCTGTGCCCTGGAGGAAGGTGCTAAACCTGTGCGGCCAGGACTTCCCTGTCAAGAGCAACCTGGAGCTGGTGCGCTACATGCAGAGCAAGGAGTGGAGGGACAGGAACATGACCCCGGGCATCAAGCAGCCTGCGGCCATGAGGCACCGGACTCAGCTGCAGCACAGGGAGGTCAGGGGCTCCCACGTGGCCCCCAAGCGTGGAGGCCCAAAGAAGGGTGCTCCGCCCCATGGGGTGCAGATTTACTTTGGCACAGCCTACTACGCGCTAACCAGGACCTTTGTGGAGTTTGTACTGAAGAGTCACGTGTCCAGGGACCTGCTGGAGTGGTCCAAAGACTCATTCAGCCCAGATGAGCACTACTGGGTGACGCTCAATCACATTAAAGGTAAAGCCCAAGTTTATAAACCGCACATAAAAAGCACCTTGTAATCTCTGTAACACAATTGGTTCTGAGCTTATGTCAAAGCATAGGGATATTTCTAACTGTTAAATCCGTGAGGAAAACAGATAAGACTTCTACAACCTTTCCATGAATGCATAGCTATGCCACGCACAACCTTTCCAATTTGTAATGCATCGAAAAGCAAAAACATAGGAGGTGAAATAGCTGTGCTTAGTCAATAAATCCTGGTGGCCTAGTAACGGAGTTCATGTAAGTTCATGAAAGGCTGACTTACAGTACATTTGTGGTGTTCGAAGATTAGTTCTAGCCTTGAAACTTAAAGGAATGGGTTCAACATACCCACATTGTTTGAAGTACAGTAGACCAGCGTAGCTACATCAGCAGTTGTCAAAGTGCTTTACAGAACCATCCTAAAACCCAATAAGAGCAAGCAATGCAGAAGCACAGTGGCTAGGAAAAATAAGTCAATAAGTATTCCACGCCTTTGTTATGGCAAGCCTAAATACATTCAGGAGTACAAATTTGTTAACAACTCACATAATAAGTTGCATGGACTCACTCTGTGTGCATTAATAGTGTTTAACAGAACTTTTGAATGACTACCTTCTCTGTACCCCACACATACAATTAAAATCGGTAAGGTCCCTCAGTCGAGCAATTACTTTCAAACACAGATTCAACCCCACCCAAAAAAAGAGATGTTCCAATGACTCACAAAGAAGGGCACCTATTGGGAGATGGGTCAAAAGAAAAAGCAGACATTGAATATCCCTTTGAGCATGGTGAAGTTATTAATTACACTTTGGATGGTGTATCAATACACCCAGTCACTACAAAGATACAGGCGGCCTTCCTAACTCAGTTGCCGGAGAGGAAGGAAACCGCTCAGGGATTTTAAAACAGTTACATAGTTTAATGGCTGTGACAGGAGAAAACTGAGGACGGATCAACAACATTGTAGTTATTCCACAATACTAACCTAATTGATAGAGTGAATAGATGGAAGCCTGTACACAAACATATTTCAAAACATTCATCTTGTTTGCAACAAGGCACTAAAGTAATACTGCAAGAAATGTGGCAAAGCAATTCACTTTTTGTCCTGAATACAAAGTGTTGTGTTTGGGGCAAATCCAATACAGCACATTACTGAGTATCACTTTCCATATTTTCAAGCATAGTAGTGGCTGCATCATGTTATAGGTATGCTTGAAATCGTTAAGGACTATGGGGTTTTCATGATAAAAAATAAACTGAATGGAGCTAAGCACAGGCAAAATCCTACAGGAAAACCTGGTTCAGTCTGCTTTCCACCAGACACTGGGAGATGAATTCACCTTTCAGCAGGACAATAACCTAACACACAAGGCCAAATCTACACTGGCGTTGCTTTCCAGGAAGACAGTGAATGTTCCAGAGTGGCCGAGTAATTTTTTTGGACTTAAACCCACTTGAAAATCTATGGCAAGATCTGAAAATGGTTTAGCAATTATCAACAACCAATTTGACGAGCTTGAATATTGAAAAGAATAATGGGCAAATGTTGTACAATCCAGGTGTGGAAAGCTCTTTGAGACTTATCCAGAAAGACTCACAGCTGTAATCGCTGCCAAAGGTGCTTCTACAAAGTATTGACTTATGTAAATTATATATTTCTGTATTTCATTTTCAATACATTTGCAAAACAATCAGAATATACGTTTTCACTTGTCATTATGGGATATTGTGTGTAGATCGGTGGGTTAAAAAATATTTTAATACATTTTGAATTCAGGGTGTAACAACGGAATGTGGAATAAGGGGTATGAATACTTTGAAGGCACTGCGTGTCACGTGAGAGGCTATAATGAAACGTGAGAATGAGATTTAATCTGTTTTGGATCAATTATCTGCTCCTAGAAGCACCAGGAAGTCATGTAGGAGGAGGCTGGGGTGGCGAGATCCGGACAATCAAATGGAGGGACCAAGAGGGAACTGCACACAACGGATGCAAAGGTACAACAATTCCCTATCCCAGCCAAAGTAGGTTTCTACACTTGACCTCACTTGTCTAGGGCATGTTTTGCTCCTTGATTCCAGATTAGATTAGCCTTCTGATTAGGAAGCAAACTGTTTCCTCAATCAAATCAAATCGTATGTCACATGCGCCGAATACAATAGGTGTAGACCTTCCCGTGAAATGCTTACTTACAAGCCCTTTCCCAGCAATGCAGTTAAGAAAATATTTACTAAGTAAACTAAAAGTAAAAAAAGCAACAATAAAATAACAATAGCGGTTATATACAGGGGGCACCGGTACCAAGCCAATGTGTGGGGCTACAGGTTAGTCGAGGTAACTGAGTTAATATGTACATGTAGGTAGGGGTAAAGTGACTATGAATAGATAATAAACAGTTAGTAGCAGCAGCATAAAAAAGGGTGTCAATGCAAATAGTCCAGGTAGCCATTTGATTAACTGTTCAGCAGTCTTATGGCTTGGGGGTAGAAGCTGTTAAGGAGCCTTTGGGACCTAGACTTGGTGCTCCGGTACCGCTTTCCGTGCGTTAGCCGAGAGAACAGTCTATAGCTGTGTTCGAATACCCATACTAACATACAGTATGCTACATACTTAATGAGTATATACTATTAGCTCATTTTAGTACACTGTAAACAAACGGTATCCTTTCAGTTGAGCATACTAGTGCTTCGCCTGTCTACCAGATGTTGATGCTGTTGCTATGCAACCTCTTGGTAGCTTCTTAGCATAACAAATGACTAACGACATTTTACGACTTCGGGTGTGTTCTTAAATTCAATCTGGAGTGCCAGAGTGCGCTCTGAGCGTTTGTAAATTCAGAGCGCTGTCAGATTGTCTGTTTGTATCTGCAGAACGCACAATGGACACTCTGGCCGAGGAGTAGGGTTTACCCAAGCGTTCTGGCCTCATAACGGCAGATAAGCAGCCAAGCTAACTGGCTAACGTTGGCTAGCTTGCTAACTTCTCCCAGACACAAATGAGAGAACACCTCACTCTGACCATTTTACTCACCCTAGCAGAGCTGGTTAGGCAGTTTTCATGTTATCCAGAGCGTTGGTGACAGTAACTGTGCTGCTGGCAACAATTGAATGACGCTTTTTTGCCGACGTTTACTGACACCGGCCATATTCAACGGGTGTTGAGCGTTCGTAAATTCATCAGTTATTCTGCGCTCTGGCACACTCAGACGAAAGTTCTCTGAAAACAGAGATTTACGAAAGCACCCGAATGTCCATTGAGAACGCACAACGACTATACCACTTAGCTAAACTAAGAATGACGGGAATAATCAAGTCAATAAACATTGGGTAGTTAAGTTAGATAGCACATAGTTAATATACTGGCAAGTGTTATGTATTAGTAGCCAACTAACATTAGGTAGCTAGCTAACATACTGGTACATACTGCTGTAATAATATGCTATGTGGTTCGTAAGGATAGAGTAGCTAACAAATTGTCAGCCAACATAACGTGTAAGGTAACTTATTTGAAAAGTCATTACTTTATTACATTGATCAACATTTTCTTAACATTTGCCATAATTAGTTAAAGCAATGAATTTGTCTCCGCTCTCGTTGGACTTCGGCTGCATATTTTCCACCCTTTCTTCAAATTTGAAAACGATATGAAGCCATGGCCCATATTCTGAATAATTGCAATATGGGCCCTAAAAGCACGAAAATAGTGTCCACTGCTGGTATACTTCATATTTTAGCAAATGTAGTACGACATTCCGGAAACTTTAGGCATAATACCTATATGCATACTATGACCAATAAGCATACTATACACTCAATTTACATCACAAATAGTACAGTTAGTGAGGTTAGTATGAGTATTCGAACACAGCTTATGACTTGGGTGGCTGGAGCCTGACAATTTTTCAGGCCTTACTCTAACACCACCTGTTATAGAGGTCCTGGATGGCAGGAAGCTTGGCCCCAGTGATACACTGGGCTGTACATACTACCCTCTGTAGCGTCTTACGGTCGGATGCCGAGCAGTTGCCATACCAGGCGTGCTGCAACCAGTTACGATGCTCTCAATGGTGCAGCTGTAGAACTTTGAGGATCTGGGGACCCATGCCAAATCATTTCAGTCTCCCTTGTCGTGCCCTCTTGACGACTGCCTTGGTGTGTTTGGACCATGATAGTTTGTTGGTGATGTGGACACCAAGGAACTTGAAGCTCTCAGCCCGCTCCATTACAGCCCGGTCGATGTGAATGGGGGTGTGCTCGGCCCTCCTGTTCCTGTAGTCCACGATCAACTCCTTTGTCTTGCTCACGTTGAGGATGAGGTTGTAGTCCTGGCACCACACTGCCAGGTCTCTGACCTCCTCCCTATAGGATGTCTCATCGTTGTCGGTGATGAGGCCAACCACTTATGTCGTCGGCAAACTTAATGATGGTGTTGGAGTCGTGCTTGGCCACGCAGTCGTGAGTGAACAGGGAGTACAGGAGGGGACTAAGCACGCACCCCTAAAGGGGCCCCCGTGTTGAGGATAAGTGTGGCAGATGAGTTGTTGCCTACCCTTACCACCTGGGGGGTGGCCCGTCAGGAAGTCCAGGATCCAGTTGCAGAGGTAGGTGTTTAGTCCCAGGGTCCTTAGTTTAGTGATGAGCTTTGAGGGCACTATGGTGTTGAGCGCTGAGCTGTAGTCAATGAACAGCATTCTCACATAGGTGTTCCTTTCGTCCAGGTGGTAAAGGGCAGTGTGGAGTGCAATTGAGATTGCGTCATCTGTGGATCTGTTGGGGAGGTATGTGAATTGGAATGGGTCTAGAGTTTGGTGTTTAAGTGAGCCATGACCAGTCTTTCAAAGCACTTCATGGCTACAGATGTGCTACGGGGCGGTAGTCATTTAGGCAGGTTACCTTGGCGTTCTTGGGCACAGGGACTATGGTGGTCTGCTTGAAACATGTAGGTATTACAGACTCGGTCAGGGAGAGGTTGAAAATTGAAAGTTTTTGGTGTGGGGGTAGATCAGCTTTAATATTACAGATAGATCACTGTAATTGTCTGCATCATTTCCAATTCCCCATTTTTTTTTTTTTTGTAAATATACAGTTGAAGTCAGAAGTTTACATACACCTTAGCCAAATACATTTAAACTCAGTTTTTCACAATTCCTGACATTTAATCCTAGTAAAAATTCCCTGTCTTAGGTCAGTTAGGATCACCACTTTATTTTAAGAAATGTGAAATGTCAGAATAATAGTAGAGAGAATTATTTATTTCAGCTTTTATTTGTTTCATCACATTCCCAGTGGGTCAGAAGTTTACATACACTCAATTAGTATTTGGTAGCATTGCCTTTAAATTGTTTAACTTGGGTCAAACATTTCAGGTAGCCTTCCACAAGCTTCCCACAATAAGTTGGTTGAATTTTGGCCTATTCCTCCTGACAGAGCTGGTGTAACTGAATCAAGTTTGTAGGCCTCCTTGCTTGCACACACCTTTTCAGTTCTGCCCACACATTTTCTATAGGATTGAGGTCAGGGCTTTGTGATGGCCACTCCAATACCTTGACTTTGTTGTCCTTAAGCCATTTTACCACAACTTTGGAAGTATGCTTGGGGTCATTGTCCATGTGGAAGACCCATTTGAGACCAAGCTTTAACCTCCTGACTGATGTCTTGAGATATTGCTTCAATATATCCACATCATTTTCCTTCCTCATGATGCCATCTATTTTGTAAAGTGCACCAGTCCCTCCTGCAGCAAAGCACCCCCACAGCATGATGCTGCCACCCCCGTGCTTCACGGTTGGGATGATGTTCTTCGGCTTGCAAGCAACCCCCTTTTTCCTCTAAACATAACGATGGTCATTATGGCCAAACAGTTCATCAGACCAGAGGACATTTCTCCAAAAAGTAAGATCTTTGTCCCCATGTGCAGTTGCAAACCGTAGTCTGGCTTTTTTAATGGAGGTTTTGGAGCAGTGGCTTCTTCCTTGCTGAGCGGCCTTTCAGGTTATGTCGTTATAGGACTCGTTTTACTGTGGATATAGATACTTTTGTACCGGTTTCCTCCAGCATCTTCACAAGGTCCTTTGCTGTTGTTATGGGATTGATTTGCACTTTTCGCACCAAAGTACGGTCATCTCTAGGAGACAGAACGAGTCTCCTTCCTGAGCAGTATGACGGCTGCGTGGTCCCATGGTGTTTATACTTGCGTACTATTGTTTGTACATATGAATGTGGTACCTTCAGGCGTTTGGAAATTGCTCCCAAGGATGAACCTGACTTGGAGGTCTACAATTTATTTTCTGAGGTCTTGGCTGATTTCTTTTGATTTACCCATATTGTCTAGCAGAGAGGCACTGAGTTTGAAGGTAGGCCTTGAAATACATCCACAGGTACACCTCCAATTGACTCAAATGATGTCAATTAGCCTATCAGAAGCTTCTAAAGCCATGACATCATTTTCTGGAATTTTCCAAGCTGTTTAAAAGGCACAGTCAACTTAGTGTATGTAAACTTCTGACCCTCTGGAATTGTGATACAGTGAATTATAAGTGAAATAATCTGTCTGTAAACAATTGTTGGAAAAAATGACTTGTGTCATGCACAAAGTAGATGTCCTAACCGACTTGCCAAAACTATAGTTTGTTAACAAGACATTTGTGGAGTGATTGAAAAACAAGTTAATGACTCCAACCTAAGTGTATGTAAACTTCCGACTTCAACTGTAACTCCAAGAGTCCTATTTATTATATAATTTACAAGAATTAGATACAGTTAAACATTTTGTCCCAAAAATATATATATTTTTTATAAATTAGTATATTTGAGTTTAAACATAATTTTGTTGTAATATTTGTTCTGTCTTTTCTGGAGGATTAAACTGAAATTTTAAAAATAGCATTTTTTTTATAGATTATTTCATTTTTCAAATAACCGAAAGTCAGAGGTTGTAATCTGAATAAATGGAAAAAGGCCCCTCTTAAACATGGGGTGAGCCATTCTTACTAATCTGCTGGAGAATCAGTTCTGATTTAAGAATAGCTTCCGTATGACTGAATCCTTTAGTGAGAGGTCTAATGCTTTAATATTTAATAATTTCTGCCCTCCGAATTCATATTCATTATATAAATAGGCCTGTTTAATGTTGTCTGCCTTGCCATTCCAAAAACAATTGAATATATTTTGCTCAAAAAAAATAATAAAAAAAAAAAGTCGCTAGGTGTAGGCAAGGCCATAAGTGAAGACACTTGCCAGCATGCGCTGAGTACACCCGGCCTTGTGAATGTTGACCTGTTTAAAGGTCTTACTCACATCAGCTACGGAGAGTCTGATCACACAGTCGTTCGGAACAGCTGGTGCTCTCATGCATGCTTCAGTGTTGCTTGCCTTGAAGCATTTAGCTCGTCTGGGCAGCTCGCAGCTGGGATTCCCTCTGTAATTCGTAATAATTTGCAAGCCCTACCACATCCGGCGAGTGTCAGAGCAAACTGATATGTGAAACGTATTAATGCCAAAATAACAGGCAAAAAAAGATATACACTACCGTTCAAAAGTTTGGAGTCACTTAAAATATCAAATGGATCAAAAATACAGTATAGACATTGTTAATGTTGTAAATGGCTATTGTAGCTGGAAACGGTTGATTTTTAATGGAATAACTACATCGGCGTACAGAGGCCCATTATCAGTAACCAACAGTCCTGTGTTCCAATGGCACGTTGTGTTTGCTAATCCAAGTTTATCATTTTAAAAGGCTAATTGATCATTAGAAAATCCTTTTGCAATTATGTTAGCACAGCTGAAAACTTTTGTGCTGATTAAAGAAGCAATAAAACTGGCCTTCTTGAGACTAGTTGAGTATCTGGAGCATCAGCAATTGTGGGTTCGATTACAGGCTCAAAATGGCCAGAAATGAACTTTTCTGAAACTCGTCAGTCTATTCTTGTTCTGAGAAATGAAGGCTATTCCATGCGAGAAATTGCCAAGAACCTGAAGATCTAGTACAACGCTGTGTACTACTCCCTTCACATAACAGCGCAAACTGGCTCTAACCAGAATAGAAAGAGGAGTGGGAGGCCCCGGTGCACAACTGAGCAAGAGGACAAATACACATTAGTGTCTAGTTTCAACTGGCAGCTTCATTAAATAGTACCCGCAAAACACCAGTTTCAATGTCAACAGTGAAGAGGTGACTCCGGGATGCTGACCATCTAGGCAGAGTTGCAAAGAAAAAGCCATATCTCAGACTGGCCAATAAAAAGAAAAGATTAAGATGGGCAGTCAGATATTCCCAGTTTATGCTACAAAACCAACTGTCTAAGAGGTTTTAAAAATAGGTTATATTTGACTAAATGTTCCATGACATACACTAAGGCATTGTTGGCAGAATAGATGGGATTCAGTTCAATGCATGATTAATATAATTCACCAATACATTTCTTGGTAGTCCAAAAAATATTGCTATCAGGTTGTAAAATCACAGCTGGCCTGGTACATTGTTTGCTGCCTCCATTCGGGATGCCAATACAATCAAACTATCAAGGGCAATGATCACAAGTCAGTCATAACTTGGCTAATAGGCTAGCGTATCTATTTATGTAGCAAGCTAAAAACACAGAGCCTAACATTAGCTAGATAGCTAGCTGCTAGGAGGATGTCATGTCATGCCATGCCATTGGAGGAGTAGGTGAGTGAGTGGCTTTTTCCCCTCATATAGTTTTTCAGTGGCTACACACAGCTAGAGATGCAGGTGTCATTTGGTTAGCTAGCAAGAATTTGAACAACTTATCCAGTTAGCATATCTCTTGCGTTTGCAAATTCACTCTGCCTATCTACAGTTCTCTGATTTCAGAGAACTCTCGTCTGAGTGTGCCAGAGCGCAGAACTGATTAATTAAAAAACATGCAACACCTGCTGAATATGACCTCGTCAGTAAATGTAGGCAAAAAAAAGTAAGTTAGTCAAGAATGCTCTAGATAACATGTAAACAGCCTAACCAGCTCTGCTACAGCGAATAAAATGGTCAGAGTGAGGGGTTCTCTCATTTGTGTCTGGAAGTAGCTAGCTAGCTAGCAAGCAAGCTAGCCAACGTTAGCCAGTTAGCTTGGACACTAGGTTGGGACAAGCATGCATTGGCAGGCAAGCTGCAGAAGGACGAGGAGGCTACAATTCCCCATCGTTTATCAGTGCAATTTTGAGGGCCAACTAGCTGAAAAAGTTAGAAAGGGTTTATCTAACGTTAATTCGTTAGATTTTAGCTCATCTTGCTCTGGCTACCATTAGCTGCTGATCTTGTTGATGTGCATAACTGAGGGAGAGAGCCCCTACCTTTTCATGGTTGTTTGATCAATAGGACTGAAGTTCCCAAATGTAAGAGGACTCCCATGGTGTTTATATAGTTGCAGAAATCCATTCAGGTGTATTTTGTGGCTTTTGGCAAATGTGTTTTACTGATCTAAAGTTGCGCTTTTGCAACTGCCTGTCAACACAGTCCAGTTAAAAGTGAATGATGGCAAGCCCATGTGGCAAATAGCTTGTTTGTATAAAGGCCTACTGTAGCTCTGATTGGCTATAGCACACCGGTCTGTGTAGATGTTTTTATTTACTGCAGTGTCTATTAATTGTCCAAATGTAAGGCCGATTTTTCACTCTATAGCGCTAAAGATTTTTCACAAATGCCTTAGTATTTTCATGTAATTCCCAAACATTTTAAAGAATTTATGAAAATGTGAAAATGACCATATCTAAGTGGTCGCTTCTCAGAAAATGTTTTAAAAAGTGTCATTCTTCCTATGGGTGTAAATGAACAGTTTTAATAAGATTGCATGTTGCTAAAATGCTGTCGGTTCCACTTTAAATGCAACAATATTTCACATACAGTACCAGTCAAAAGTTTGAACACACCTACTCATTCAAGGGTTTTGTCTTTATTTTGACTATTTTATACATTGTAGAATAATAGTGATGACATCAACACTATGAAATAGCACATATGGAATCATGTAGTAACCCAAAAAAGTGTCAAACAAATCAAAAATATATTTAATAGTAGCCACCCTTTGCATTGATGACAGCTTTGCACACTCTTGGCATGCTCTCAACCAGCTTCATGAGGTAGTCACCTGGAATGCATGAAGGAGTTCCCACATATGCTGAGCTCTTGTTGGCTGCTTTTCCTTCACTCTGTGGTCCAACTCATCCCAAACCATCTCAACTGGTTTGAGGTTGGGTGATTGTGGAGGCCAGGTCATCTGATGCAGCACTCCATCACTCTCCTTTGTCAAATAGCCCTTACAGGTGTGTTTTGGGTCATTGTCCTGTTGAATAACAAATGATAGTCCCACTAAGCCCAAACCAGATGGGATGGCGTATCGCTGCAGAATGTTGTGGTAGCCATGCTGGTTAAGTGTGCCTTGAATTCTAAATAAATCACAGACAGTGTCACCAGCAAAGCACCCCCACACCATCACACCTCCATGCTTCGTGGTGGGAACCGCATGTTGAGATCATCCATTTACCTACTCTGTGTCTCACAAAGACAGCGGTTAGAACCAAAAATCTCAAAATGTTGATTCATCAGACCAAAGGACAGAGTTCCACCAGTCTAATGTCCATTGCTCGTGTTCCTTGGCCCAAGCAAGTCTCTTCTTCTTATTGGTGTCCTTTAGTAGTGTTTTTTTTTGCAGCAATTTGACCATGAAGGCCTGATTCACGCAGTCTCTGAACAGTTGATGTTGAGATGTGTCTGTTACTTGAACTCTGTGAAGCATTTATTTGGGCTGCAATCTGAGGTGCAGTTAACTCTAATGAACTTATCCTCTGCAACAGAGGAAACTCTGGGTCTTCCTTTCCTATGGCGGTCCTCATGAGAGCCAGTTTCATCATAGCAGTTGATAGTTTTTGCGACTGCACTTGAAGAAACTTTCAAAGTTCTTGATATTTTTCATTTTGACTGACCTTCATGTCTTAAAGTAATGATGGACTGTCGCTTCTCTTTGCTTATTTGAGCTGTTCCTGCCATAATATGGACTTGGTCTTTTACCAAATAGGGCTATCTTCTGTATACCACCCTTACCTTGTCACAGCACAACTGATTGGCTCAAACGGATTAAAGAAGGAAAGAAATTCCACAAATTAACTTTTAACAAGGCACACCTGTTAAATCAAAATGCATTCCAGGTGACAACCTCATGAAGCTGGTTGAGAGAATGCCGAGTGTGCAAAGCTGTCATCAATGCAAAAGGTGGCTACTTTGAAGAATCTCAAATAAAATATATTTTGATTTGTTTGACACTTTTTTGGTTACTACATGATTCCATGTGTGTTATTTCATAGTTTTGATGTCTTCACTATTATTCTACAATGTAGAAAATAGTAAAAATAAAGAAAAACCCTAGAATTAGTAAGTGTGTCCAAACTTATGACTGGTACTGTACATAAGTTATTTTCAAAAGAGATGGCTAACAAAAGCAAGCACTCTGCAATAAAATAAAATAAAATAAAACACAGTTCCACTCACCAGATGATGATAATTTGAAACGTAACTTCTTGTTGAAAGTTATTCATGAAAAGGTAGACGCTAACAAATTAGCAATAACATCCTCTTTGATAAGACCTGCTGCAGCTGCTGGAAACTAGCCGACAACAAAAGCTAGCTAGCCAGACCGTGGGGAAACTACTGCTTGCTATTGTGCAGTGACCTGTTGGCCTGCAAGAAGGCAGACGTTTCAATACGTTTTTGTAAAAACGGTCCCACCCATTGTCAAAATGTTATCGTTTGATTCCACTGTCACTCTAAAATGTTGACCTAATACAGTTGAATGGCAGATGCCTTTATCTAGCTTCTGATGGCCTAGCCAATGGCTGATTTAGCTAGCTAGATTTATCTCCCCAGAGACCAGCAAAGAAAAATCCTGGTTGGAATTTTTTTTTCTCTTCAGTGTTAACCCTTTCCAACAAAAACTGAAGAGATTAAAATCAGAACATCATTGAAAATAATAATATAATTATTATTATTTTATAAATCCTTAGTCCTTCTCTGAAGGCGTAAAAGGCCCAATGTTCCCCACTGTGTTTGGGTTAGTAATAATTTGTAGAGTGGCTCTATTTTGCCTCAGCTTGCATTTTTTCACTATTCTGAATGTCTAAAGAATCCATATGTTGTGGTGATTTGATAAAATTACAATCATGTCATTAATTGGACTCGCACTTTTCTGTCCTCGGTTTTGATTCAGTCTCGGACCCCTTGTCCCCCCTCCGGTCTTGGTCTTGACTCGGACTCGATTTGCTCCGGTCTTGGTCTTGAACCGGTCTCGCTTTAGGTGGTCTTCGATCATAACATTGGTAGACGGTGTGGTCTACAGCTTTTCATGAGGTACTCTACCTCAGGCGAGCAAAACCTTGACACTTCCTTAATATTAGATATTGCGCACCAGCTGTTATTGACAAATAGACAGACCACCACCCCTAGTCTTACCGGAGGTAGCTGTTCGGTCTTGCCGATGCACGGAAAACCCAGCCAACTGTATATTATTCAGCCACCACTCGGTGAAACATAAGCTATTACAATTTGTAATGTCCCGTTGGTAGGATAGTCTCAAATGGAGCTCATCCAGTTTATTCTCCAGTGATTGCACGTTGGCCAATAGGACAGATGGTAGAGGCAGGTTACCCACTCTCCGACGAATTCTCACAAGGCACCCGGATCTGCGGCCTCTGTATCTCCATCTCCTCTTCATGAGAATGACGGGGATTTGGGCCTGGTCCAGCAGTAAATCCTTCGCATCAGTAAATCCTCACCTCGTCCAGTTCGAGGTGAGTAGTCGCTGTTTTGATATCCAGAAGCTCTTTTCGGTCATAAGAGACTGTAGCAGAAACATTATGTACCAAAAAAGTTACAATGCGAAAAACACAAAAAATAGCACAATTGGTAAAATGGCAGCCGGCACCATTATTTGAGCAACAGCAGTTGATAGAATTTGACACTGATCTGAATCTCATCTTTATGTCTTTTCTGCTACACGTCTTTCCGCAGGCCGCTATGTTAGGGACATCTGCATCTATGGTCTGGAGGATTTGCAGTGGATCATCGACAGAAACAGCATGTTTGCCAACAAGTTTGAGAGCAAGGCCTTCCCAGAAGCTTTGGACTGCCTGGAGCAGTGGCACAGGGACAAGGTCCTGCAGCAAGCGATGGTTCCCATCCAGTCATGGTGGCAACTTGCCACGCAAGGCAATACCACCGCTCTTTTCAACGCCACGGTAGGACTTTGACGAGGTTGTGGGGTTCGTCCTGACCAAAATGGATGTAGTTCTCCAATAGACTTGTTGGTTATCGTATCACTTCAGAGGGCTGTACTAAAGTGTGCTGCTAGGGCCTTGATGCATTTCAGTTGGTACGTTTAGCTCAAATCTCGAGAATGGATAAGCAATCAAAAGCAAAAAAGCTGAACAACAATTATCTAACATTCTTCTCCATTCGTAGGAAACTGTTTGCGAGGTAAGCAGGGAAGACTTGTTATTGACATATCTTAGTTGTCCTGAAACGCTTTGCGGTAAAAATAGGCTTGTTGTATCACTAAGAGGCACAGTGGCTGACGCAACCATAATCACTATAGAATTCACAGGTTTCCCCCCGCGTCACACAAGGCCCTTTAATGACCTGTTGTGCACTTTGACAACAGAAACACATAGGCCACTGTCCCAAAGACATTTGTCAACCTTTACAGGCAAAAGCATTAGACAGCTCTGTGGACATGGTTGCTTAGATGTGTGGTAACTTGAATATTGCCATTTCAAAAACTATGTTAAGAATAATGTATTTAAAGTAAACTATTATATTGTGTGACTGCCTATTGCAAATAAAGTGGCACTCATTTTATGACAGCTCTGTTATGTTGTAAATGTGCAAGTCGCTCTGGATAAGAGAGTGTCTGCTAAATGATGTAAATGTAAACATGAGTTAATGCTGCCACTTCAGATTACTCTGACGTTTTTTTTCTTGTACTGTACTCAATGATTTATGAAAACTTGCCTGATGGGTCGATGTTCTCACTGTGGTTTCAGTATTGTTTAATACGTTTTATATACACACTTTATTATAATACTTATGAAATGCAATGGTAAGCTTGTTTTCCTTATCCTCCAACCCCATTCGATGAGGAAATGAAAAACACACAAAAGCTCTGACCAAGGCCTTGAGGCCGATACGTAAAGCTAAATAAAGAGCAGTGATACTAGCAAGAGCAGTGTGCGGGTTTTCTTCTTTTTTTTTTCTCGTCTGTGATTGTTAAAAGATAAAAATGTGCATGTGCTAATCATGACTCGTTAACATTGTTTCCTATTTGTTTTGCAACTATTACAAAAATAGATTACTAATGATTTAAAAAAGGTGCATCCGAAAATGTTCTACTGTTCTTTGATAATTTAAACTACTGCTAAACGATACCCTCTGAGCTTAGTACTGGCAAAGTACAACCGTATAATAAGCCAAATAGGCCTAAACATTTGCACTGACATTAAATATTGTTACATTGTGTATGTTGTCAATTTAAGAGAGCAGGGTTCAATAAATGTGGATTAGGAAGAGGCAGTTAAGGTGTTCAAACTGCCACTTTGACATCTAACCATATTTCAATTGATTTCAAGAGATTTAACATATTCAATTATTAAGGGCTTGAAAGTGGACATCGTACAGCATGCACTTTTTACCCAAAACATGTTTGTTGTTTGTTCACTGTAAAGGAAATTTAGCTATTCACTGAAATTCCCAAATGCTTTGAATACATTGAACATTTGTTATAAATTCACTTGGTCTTAACTTAGCTTGATCTTTGCTTCGCTTCATGAGCAAAGGGTTGTTGATACGATTTGCACAAACAAATCGTACCATCACATGCAGTGCAAATGGACAAGGCACTTGGATCTGTTCCCCCTTGAGAGGTAGCAAGGGAGATTCCCACGAGCGGACAACCACAACAATGCTGCTCTCACGCTCTGCTGGAGTCAGAGGTGACCTTTTGTGCTGCTTGCTCTCCCGATACCACAGTAGTCTCGAAAACTCGACCTTAGGCAACACAGTGACTAGGGTCTGGTTTCAATAATGTACTCTTTTGGCATTGAAGAACTATGCCACTGCCTACGTCTCTACCATACACAAAAAATGTATGCACGCATGACTGTAAGACGCTTTGGATAAAAGCGTCTGCTAAATGGCATATATATATATATATACTTTATCCGCTTGAATAAAATACAAAATAGAAGCTAGCAAGATGGAGATCACGTAGGCAGTGATGTAGTTTCTCTACGCCAAAAGAGTCCATAATTGAAATCAAACCCTAGTCACTGTGTGGCCTAGGGTCGGGTTCGAGACTAATACCACAGCAGCACCTGTTTCCCATCATCTGGCAGCTTCCTCATATAGCCTGGCTCAGCTGGCAGGAGGCATCATGGGATTGAGAATAATGACAGGCACAGAGCTGGGGGTTATCTGGTTTCCATGACACCGAGGAGGGCTTTTACTGTCGTACAGTTACAGCTCATCGATTTTTCGGAGGCCATCTGCTGTTTCTCAATAGGATTTTGTGTCCTACTTTTCCTATCACTTTCTTACCTAAAAATAGAACATGTAACCAATAAAATGCGACAACAAAGTGCGGCAGGCATGGTGAATGGGGCACCATGGTACTTTTCTATGTGCACGATGGCAAACAGATACGGAAGCTCCCACCTTTTATTTACTTTCCTTTGCTAAACCACACATGCTGTATCGTTTAGTAATTTCAAAACAGGGAAATTCATATCTCCATATCAAGGCAAATTATTGATTCAATAACAGAGATGGACCTGTGGCCAACTCCATGGAACTCAAAGGAACCAAACAAGTCAAAAACAGCAGACCAGAGGGTTAATCATTCACACGAGCACAAACAGCTAACTGGTTCACAGTTAGCACATTAAGAAACCCCCCCCCACACCTCTATCTCTATCTACCTGTCTGACAACAGTCCAGGGACACACTGTCCTAAAGGTTGATTAATCTACAGTAGAAGAAACAGCACCACCCTCCATTAGCAAACTATCTAAAGTGCCTCAAATGTTACCTCCCTAATGTCAAAATACAAATGACTGACTATAATAGCAGGTTGTGTGTAACAAAGGAAAACGTGGGGACAGGGTAGTTACTGATTCAATAATAAGAGGGTAGGTTTGCATACAGAACATTCCAATATCTTCTTTTAGTACACAGAAACACACACTGAATGAGGCTTGGACTGAAACACCTGTGAAAACGCTTTTCCCACTGCTGCTGCTAGAGGAGGAAAACAAAGATATTGGAGTCCATCTACTTTATGAGAGCATATCCTCTTTTCTTTCAACTGTTTATTGGTTTTACCAACCAAAAAAAAGTTGAGACCGGGGTGGTACCTTGTTTCATTACAAGGTTACTAATTTGACAAATGTAGCACACAGCGTGTTGAATGGATGTTGTGTGTGTTTTACAGTGCATTTTTCCACATTGTTACGTTACAGCCATATTTTTTTTATGTTCCTCAATCTACACAAAATACCCCATAATGACAAAGCGAAAACAGGTTGTTAGACATTTTTGCAAATGTGTTCAAAATAAAACAGAAATACCTTATTTACATAAGAATTCAGACCCTTTGCTATGAGACTCGAAATTGAGCTCAGGTGCACCCTGTTTCCATTGATCATCCTTGACATGTTTCTACAACTTGATTGGAGTTCACCTGTGGTAAATTCAATTGATTGGACATGATTTGGAAAGGCACACACCGGTCTATATAAGGTCCCACAGTTGACAGTGCATGTCAAGAGCAAAAACCAGGCCATGAGGTCAAAGGAATTGTCCGTAGATCTCCGAGACAGGATTGTGTCGAGGAACAGATCTGGGGAAGGGCACCAAAACATTTCTGCAGCATTGAAAGTCCCCAAGAACACAGTGGCCTCCATCATTCTTAAATGGAAGAAGTTTGGAACCACCAAGACTCTTTCTAGAGCTGGCCGCCCGGCCAAACTGAGCAATCGGGGGAGAAGGGCCTTGGTCAGGGAGGTGACCAAGAACCTGACGGTCAATCTGACAGAGCTCCAGAGTTCCTCTGTGGAGATGGGAGAACCTTCCAGAAGGACAACCATCTCTGCAGCACTCCACCAATCAGGCCTTTATGGTAGAGTGGCCAGACTGAAGCCACTCCTCAGTAAAAGGCACATGACAACCCCCTTGGAGTTTGCCAAAAGGCACCTAAAGGACTCTCAGACCATGAGAAACAACATTCTCTGGTCTGATGAAACCAAGATTGAAATCTGAATGTCAAGTTTCACGTCTGGAGGAAACATGGCACCATCCCTACGGTGAAGCATGGTGGTGGCAGCATCATGCTGTGGGGATGTTTTTCAGCAACAGGGACTGGGAGATAAGTCAGCATCGAGCGAAAGATGAATGGAGCAAAGTACAGAGAGATCCTTGATAAAAACCTGCTCTAGAGCGCTCAGGACTTCAGACTGGGTCGACGGTTCACCTTCCAACAGAACAACGGTCCTAAGCACACAGCCAAGCCAACGCAGGAGTGGCTTCGGGACAAGTCTCTGAATGTCATTGAGTGGCCCAGACAGAGCCCAGACTTGAACCCGATCTCTGGAGAGACCTGAAAATAGCCGTGCAGCGATGCTCCACATCCATTCTGACAGAGCTTGAGAGGATCTGCCGAGAAAAATGAGAGAAACTCCCCAAATACAGGTGTGCCAAGCTTGTAACGTCATACCCAATCGAGGCTGTAATCTCTGTCAAAGGTGCTTCAACAAATTACTGAGTAACGGGTCTGAATACTTATGTAAATGTGATTTTAGCAAACATTTCAAAAAATAATAAAGTGCTTTGTCATTATGGGATATTGTGTGTAGATTGATGAGGGGGAAAAAACAATTTAATCAATTTTAGAATAAGGCTGTAATGTAACAAAATCTGGGAAAAGGGAAGGGGACTGAATACTTTCAGAATGCACTTTATATATGCATGTCCTACCTTGTGGCAGATCTCAGTCTTGACTTCTTTCATGGCCCGGTCTGAAAACACACAGCCACAGGTCTGCAGGAAACAGAACCTGAGAGAAACAAGATCACATAAGGTTTAGGTTTAAAGTTGTGATGCAACACCTCTATTGTAAGGACAAATATAGGGCTAACACCAGTACATGAAAAAACCCTACCATAGGAATTATCACCCTCTTTTATCA